TGAAGCATATTTTGTTGTAAAGAGAGAACTAATCCCATTTCAGAAATATTATGAAAAGGGTATCGTTGGACAAAACATATTAAAGTTACTCTTCATCATGAAAGCAATTCCAAAGTCACATTGGTTATGACTTTTCAACTTTTGTTGTAAAGAGGAACTAATAGTTATACCCATTTCAGAAATATTATGAAAAGGATATCATTGGACAGAAAACAAATTACTCTTCATCATGAAAGCAATTCCAAAGTCGGCATATTGGTTATGACTTTTTCATTAGGAGCTACCAAAGTTGGGTATACATTTTATTGATACACCCTGTATAGTCCAATGCCTAGACTGTTTCCGTGTTGCGCGCCCAATCAGCTGAGCCGAAAATAACACACCCTTAACACACCCTTAACACACCCTTAACGCAATCTTTGCCTCTCATTCTACCTCTACGGTTGTTTTTTCTGGGGTCGCGCGATCTGTGCGGGATGCATGTTAGGGGGGAGGACATAGATGATTAAAGAATAACAAACATATAATTACGGACAGAATCTGGACTAGGTATTGTATAGAATATATTCATGCATGCATTATACTGTAAGACTATAACTTGATGCAAGTTATCAATACACTGTACATGTACAATGGTCTATGCATAAATTACACATGAAGTTTAAGTATACAGGAAATTTTTATTTTTGATTTTATTTTATTTTATTTGATATGGTTCATTGATTTTCAAAATCTTCGCAGTCATTAAAACTGAAAAGAGATTTCTATCACAATTATATTGAAATTGATACACATAAAGCAGTAAATGTAAATATATACAATAACGATAAATATTTGACATAATTATGAACTTATTAAGTTTACAGTAGAAATTTAAAATACAATTTGAGCGTGTTTGTATGAATTATTATTTCAAGACATCATGTAAAGTCACATGGATCAGAAAAGGAGACTTTGGGTTACATTTATTTAGTTAATCTTTTTCTTTTCCCGGCATCCACGGGACTCACTTCAAACCACACTATCATTTTGTAATTACTGTTTTCTTGATTTTATCTTGGCCAAATAACAACAAAAATGACAATAATAATAATAATAATAATAATAATTATAATAATAATAGTAATTTAAAACCTGAGATTAACCTTCAAGTATTTAACTACTTATTGATTATCTCTTTCAAAATAAAGCTAAGTTGCCTAGTCCTATCTATGATGCATTGCTCCAATAATTTTCAAGAGCCTGTGTATAATTACAAATGATAAAAAATCATTTAAATGCACTATACAGTTAAACTCTGGATAAATCAAAATTGCATCGATCAAATTTTCTCAAAGTCAAATAATATTTGTATGTCCAAACAATGCAAAGCGTGTGATATTTACACTTCCTCAGTCGTATTTTGCATATTAAGTCAAACTATTTTCTGCGGTCCCAACAGATTTGACACATGCAGAGTTACATGAAAGTGTATTGTCATAAATGCTCTACCCATAAACAAAATATATAGGCAGGGCTACATGTAACAAGCACACAGGCATGCAGTCATAATAGAATTAAGCAGCTCTACTCAGACATGGCATGATGAATTGTCCAAATAAAACAAATACAGAAAGAGAAGATCCATTTTACAAGTAAATAAATGACAATTCATGGTTTGAAGAAGAAGAAAAAAACTGCTAGCAACGAAGGATCCTGATTACTCTGTTTATCCATGTATTGGAATACAGTCATTTGCAAAAGTTTATGACCCTCTGGAATTTCTTGATACATGTATTTCTGTCAATGGGTCGCCATTACATTGCATTAAAAATGGTCCATAGCATACTAACAGGGATCCAATGTCTATGAAATTTATTTAGCAAAAAACAGGTTTTATATGACATTTTGTATCACTACAGCACTGCTACAATCATTTTAGTTTATTCTATTTCAGGAATTTCAACAAATAATGTCTAATTTCATGATGAAACCAATCTTACATTTGATTGTATAGACTTTTTTTTTAAATCTTTACAATTTTAAAAAAGAAAAGTAACAATTTCTTACACCACATCCACTCTGCTATTTCTTTTAAATTCAGGTTTGAAAAACCGGTTCTTACCATTTACCATGCATATATCTATTTACAATATTTACAAAGTCTAGAATCAATTTCAGATGGTATCCCTCTCCTCCTTTAAAAAGATGCCCTTAACTATCTCAATTTTATTAAAGGCACAACGTATCGACATCTGAGAAACCTGAAATGAATTGTTGAAATCATTTAACGATTGTATTATTAGAGGGTTTGTTATTTATCAAGAAAGGTCAGTATGAGGTCATGAGGTGCATATGGAATGCATGTACTCATAAAGCTGTTCGTAAAGTTACGCATGACTTTACGAACGACTTATATATGAAAAGTCAAATGGGATGCTCAATCATTTCTTAACTGCATCAAATAAAGTTGAACTGTGCAGATGTAGCTTAACATTCTTATTATAACAAGCATTTTTTAATACAAAGTGTATGTTTTGCCATAATTTAATTGAGGTTATTGGAAATATAGTCACACTTTGTGAAAACATCAGGACAAATTTGGGGCATCCTATCTGGCACTTCATATTCAGTCGTTCGTAAAGTCATGCGTAACTTTACGAACAGCTTCATGAAACACCCCCAGTTTATATTACAGAAAGCAGGACGCACTAAATCAATGGCCCAAGCAACCAGCAGCACAAGAGATCGACCCTTTCCTAATACCCTCATGCATTCCTTACGTTTTGTTTTAAAGGGATCCGGTAACTTTGTCTCAGATTCTGAACAAAATCCTGGATTTAGCTCATGCTGCAATGATAATTATAAACCTTTAGGTCAGTCAGGAACCCCATGACTTTTATAAGCTGATCGCCTGTCTGTCTCATATTTATGAGTGGAAATCAAAATTAAATTTTGCGTTTGCCAAACGGTTTTCACAACACTACAGTCTAGTGGGGAAAACAAGAATGGTAAAACCGGTCACTCAAAGATTATTCCTTTTTTGAGGCACTTCTTGATCATTTTGAAGCACGATTTTTTTAGAGCTTCAATATTACCCCATATTACAGACAGTGATGTCACGTAGGGCCGTGCCTCTCAGATTTAACATTGTTAAACGATGCCTTTAATACTCTAGTGGGCTGTCGATCTTGTTTGTTGCTGCATGGTTTCTTGGCCGGACATTTTTTCAACTTTCTTCTTTTCTATCTTTTTTTATGAATTTTTTTCGGACTGTTGGTATACATGTACATGCACATAAACATCATATCCCAATTAATGTTACAATTCATCAAGCTTGAGAAAGCAAATGGCTCTACATATAATCAATTAGCTTCACCAATAAGATAATTTTTATTAAAAGTTGATATGCAGCATGATTTTTGTTTCAATCTCTTTTGACCAAATAGTACATAATCTACTTTAAAATTTGACATTCTTTTTGACAAACATATGAATACTTTGTACTTGAAAGAAGTGGCAATCATTTCTTCTCCTTCTTTCTTTTTCTTCTTTCTTTTTCTTCTTTCTTTTTCTTCTCCTATTTTTCTTTTAGAATCAATGCATTCAAACTCCTTTGGGCTTTTGTTGTTTAGTTTTTGAGGTTTTTTGGTTGTTTTACCTTTTCTAGTTATTCTTTTGCATTGAAAATGCAAAGAATTGATAGATGCGTGGAGGTATCCGCACTTTTGTGCAAAACATGGATGAGAACAAAATGTAGAAATAATGGGTAAAGAAATCATTATGAATTTGTTTGTGCATTGCTATGATGTGAATACATTTGATAAGTTCATATGATACTTCACTAGAGGTAGTGCTGTTTAAATCCCCTTCATCCGATATTCATTCTCCAGCCTCCATTACTAAGATATGTAAATTGTAAGCGAATCTGACAAAAGTGTATTGTGCAATATTAAGTATGGATAAGTTTCATAATACCAGTAGGATTTTCCAGTTGCAAGTTTTCCTTCTGACTACGTATGTGGTGATTGGAGGTAACATTCTTCACAAAACGTTTTGTCCATTTGGTGGTCAGTGAAATAATTGAAAAATGCATCAAAAAAAAGTGATCATTATTTCTATAATTGAATACTTTTGGATAATTTCTCAAAAACTACAGAAATATATTCTTTAAAAAGACATAAAAATGAGTTGTGCAATCAAGTAAGTTGCCATGATCAGATCAGTATGTAAAAATATTTTTTTAAAGATCAACAGCTTAATGTAAGCATTTAAAAAGTCTAAACGTGTTTCTGTGTTTCCATTACAATCAAAACAATAAAAGCAGGTTCATTGGCTATTCTTTTTGATTGTCATACTGGGGGTGGTTTCACAAAAACCATCAGAAGTACAAGATCAACAACATCTCTACGCTGACGCTCGAATTGTCCGCTAACTGTTTCACAAAACCATCTTTGCCAATACGAGCAACAACTCCCTCGACAGGACATTTACCGCGACACCAAACCTGTCATACATTACTTAGAATGCCATCTCAAGGCAACTGCAAGTCAAGTTAGTCTATTGGCAGTGAAAAATTGAAAACTGAAAATTCATTTTAAAACTCCTTTCTTTTACTGATCAGTTCTTCTTGGTGTTGATATATAAAAGTATTATACAAGCATACAAACTGTTCTTATAACTGTTTAAATTATTAACGAGTAGTTATGATAAATGTTATTTGTCCATACATCACTATAACAAAGAAAGGTCGTAAAAGATGGAACAGTCTGTAATAGGTATCATGAAACCAACCCCTTGAACATTAACCTTGTATTTGTAATGAAGAGAAATTTGTCAAATATAAAAAATGAATCTGTCATTTGACTTTCTAACTCATAAAGGCCTAACGAACATCATGTCCACAGACACAATAGACAACATAGATTAATCAGGTACAATAATGGCAAGTATATTGTAACCTAAAGATGGTTTTCAATTTGTGCGTGTGCTCATGTTGAATTTTTTTTTTTTTTTTTTTGGTGTTCTTTCCAGAAACTTTTGCGTGCATTAAATGTTCAATAATTTCAAGAGTGGATTGGAAAATTTCATGCCGCAAAATAATTGAATCACAATTGAGACAACACTATATTTTGGGTCAAAATGACAAAATGTTGTTCTTGACGTGCAAAAGGGCCATCTTTAACCATTTACAAGTTTCCTGCTGCGAAAGTTTCTGGTTAAAAAGTAGCATCAATTGAATACAGATACATGTTTGAAATTGAATGTTATTGTGTTGGATACTCAGACAATGTGGCCATTGGTCAAAAGTTGATATTGGCAAAGGTTTTACATAGTTTAAATGATCAGATCAAAGACTAAATATTAAAAAAATAAGATAATACAATGGATCAATCTACACATAAGATTACCGGTATCCTCTTTTTTTTTGCTTGCTGATCTAGTCGTTAATCTTTTCTTTCTCTATCAAACTAAGGCTTTGGGCCTTTACGCCACACTATGTCAGTTCATCACATTTCTTCTATTCGTCATTCTCCTTGCATATATGAATATTCAGGTGCCATCGTGTATAATTTACATAACATTGATGAAAAATAAGAATATTTCCCTGACTTGCACTTCTGATGGATGGCAAACAGTGGGGTAGGATGACATCCCAGTCACATATATTGTATTCCATCCAGCAGAGAATCACTTGCACTCTATCCTCAACAGTTCAACCTCAAACGTCAGCTCTGCGTTGCCTGGTATCGTGCTCGGTAGTCAAGGAATATTTTTGATAAAAAGGGTTTAAAAACATCTTTTGCTTGACAATTGTTTGTGCCAAACTCTATTCATTGTATAATGGAAAATCTTGCAGACCTGTTGTCTTGTAAACTTAATCATTCATTTTGTTTGACCCTTGCTTTCCTCTCACCTCAGAACCTTTGACAATTCTCCCTCGATCGTTAACTAAATGACATTGTATTATTTTTTCATGTTTATTATCATCTCAATCTGATGTTGACTTTCTCTCTATCTATCTGAAATGTGTTTTATTTATGTTTATTTTTGTTTTTTACCTTTTAGTTTTTTGGGAATGACACCAAATCAATTAAGTACAGTCAAACCTGTCTATAGCGACCGCCCAAGGGAAACACAAAAATGGCTTTTTGAAGACTGGTGGTCTTTGAACAGGTTCCTTTAGTACATGTGGTCAATGAGAAACCATTTTCAAGGGAAACAAAAAAATATGGTCTTTGTAGACAGGTGGTCAGTAAAGTAGGGTTGACTGTATAACTTTTCTACCTACACGTAGGTGTACATTAAAGGTTAAACTTTCAAACGCATAATGAGGTCACAGGACAATATTACTTTATTTCGTTCATATGTGAAAGGATATACTCCAGGATAGCCCATTGCACCATAGCCATAATCAGGAGAGCACTTCAGATTTGCCTTCTCTCCTACACTCATCTACAAAGAAAAGGAATTATTACATGATTTTACATAATTAGCACACAAAGATCAACTGACGGACAAGATGAAACATTATCACATTTTTTTCTTTCTGTTTCACTCATTGAATGAAAAACTAAGAACTTCTGTACTTGTGAAATTAATGTCAAAGTAAACAAATATACCATGCACTGAGAGGCTCTAGTTGAAATTATGGATCAAGGTGGCAGGAATAGCACTATTTTCTGAGGGCCGTAGCCCTGAAGAAAATAGTGCCATTTCTGTCGCCGAGGAATCGATAATTTTAGCTAGTGACTTGAAATAGTGCATGATATATTTGTTTTATATTTCAATTCAATTCGTTTTTTATTTTTCAAACCAACCTTCTTAAAAATAATAATAATAATAATAGTAGCGTAGAGTCAGTGAGAGCAGCACAGACGACAGTACCGCGACCGATATCACATTGATCTTGATCGATCACATATATATATATATATATATATATATGTCGTCCTCCATGGTAAAGTGCTATGGTATAGTGCACTATACCATGGATGACGTCACGGTTACATCATAGAAATGTTATGTTTGGTCACATGATGCTCTGTTGACCAATCACTGAACAGGATTTCATTGATCAAAAATAAAATATTGAATACTCCCTTTGGAATCCCCATTCTATGAACAAATGTGGTCATTCTGATCATGCGCCTGTGCCGGAAAAAAAAATGTACCGGTATGTCATAAACTGTGTATGAAGGGTTTATATATATATATATATACTCCCACATTTATTTCACCATTTTGATCAATTCATGAATCTCATTTATTTTTCATTAACCTAACATTGAACATCATAATGTATTAAAGGGATAGTTGAGTTCTGTTGCAGAGGGTGCTACACAAAATAATTTTTTTGTGAGATAATGAAAAACTGAGTGTCAAATTTGAAAGAACATAATATCCAAATGACAAAATCATCTTTGTTTGGTCAAAATCGTTTCAGAGAGGGCCAAAATATCCATTAATATAACCATTTCTAATATTTGTGTACCACCACTACAATAATTTTAAAAAGCTGTTAGAAAACGAAATAGCGCCTTTTACGTTGTATTTCAGCCAATGCCGATGTTGGCTTTTAATAATAATAATAATAATAATAATAATATTTAATTTTTATATAGCGCTTAATACAAATGTCTCTAAGCGCTGTACAATTATACTATTACCCCGGTCATTGGATTCAGTGCTTGCCCGCACACACTGTGTGCACAATCTCCACTCCCTGGGGAGCATTCCAGCCAGGCGTTACTTGACGCTCACAAGCTGTTTGACCAACAATGACGGTCGCATCCTACCGAGTACCCATTTAACACCTGGGTGGAGAGTAGCAAGTGCAGGTTAATATCTTGCCACAGGATATTAGTGCCGTGTCGGGATTAGAACCCTCGACCTTCGCATCTCCAGTCAAGCGCCTTAAACCACTCGACCACGACACTGTGTTGGTTATATCACGCACAACCAGCCGGCCCATGGTTTTTTATATATAAAAAATTAATTAATTAACGGTCACTGTATTTTTTTAAAGTGGAGCTAAATCCGTATGATCGTATAGGCTAAATTTGACACATTTTGGAGTCTAAATTACCGGTAGGATGCGACCGTCATTGTTGGTCAAACAGCTTGTGAGCGTCAAGTAACGCCCGGCTGGAATGCTCCCCAGGGAGTGGAGATTGTGCACACAGAGTGTGGGGGCAAGCACTGAATCCAATGACCGGGGTAATAGTATATTTGTAAAGCGCTTAGAGACATTTGTATTAAGCGCTATATAAAAATTAAATATTATTATTATTCATAGCAATTTTAGGTCATAAAAGGGCACTAGAAATGTCATAAATAAGAATAAGTGCAATTGACCATGCACTTTGAAGACATTCACGGTCTAAAATAAGAACTCAACTATCCCTTTAAGTAATTGTTTCATCCATACCTGAGCGATGCCTTCATCCATTCCTTTCACAACCTCACCCATTCCTAGAGTGAACTTGAGTGGCTGACGTACAATGGATTGATCAAACACCTTGCCACTTGACGTCAGTTTCCCTGTTTGAACAAAATTGACATTGTGTGTGTCATATTCAACATCAATATTTCACAAATAAATGACTGACGTACAATGGATTGATCAAAACCTTGCCGTTTTATGTCTGTTTCCCTTTTTGAACAAAATTACATTCTGTGTGTCATATCTCACATCAATATTTTAAAAATAGTTTTACAAGTCATTGTATTATACCAATCTATAAACAATTAGTTCATTGCAGCATATGTGTATATTGTTTTCTTCATTAAAAAAAATGTTTAGGTTGTTAGATATATTTTTCCATACTGTCAACAACTTACCCACGTAATGTATAACACAAATTTGTCCTTTCTTTGGCCGTGTAACCCCTGTAAATGGGAGAAAGAAAAAAAAACGATTAATATTATACGGTTTTACATTTTGTATGTGTACATGTTAAGGCCAGAGAGAGTATAACGACACTGGAAGTGGAAATAAAGTAAAAACTGTTTATATGGAAAGGAGAGTGAGAACTGCACGTTCCACAACAAATTATATAAATAATTGATGTTAAAATCAGTTCAAATGCATGCTTTTATAAAAGGAGCATATTAAGAAGAAATATCAAAGAAGATAATGCAAAAACAACACAATATAAACTGAGATTTAAAAAATAAAGGAAAATCTACAGCAGATTAGAGGTATAAAGACCAGTATTGGAAACGCCCCAATTTAAAAAAAAATGAAATGGAAGCTCTTATTACCAATCATGTGAAGAATAAGTTTTGACTAATACATGATGATAACAATTTTGCCGGGAAACCGCCTACTAATTGATATATTTGGTAGATTAGTTTATCTATAGGCCTGTGAGAGATAAAAGCATGTGTCGCTCGTGTGCGTATAGTCCTATATACATCTTTCTGTGTACAGTGCTTGTAACTTTACAAAGACTGAGCCAAATTTCTTATCATTTTGATGATTCCAGAATCTTGCAGTATACACTAATACTTGTATGCTAGATGATCAACCTTTTCTGATCGATTCCACAACGTTTCTTTCACAATGCAATCGCATGACCATAACTGGTCTTTTAAGTCGAAATAAAGAAGAATGAGAATGAGAAGAGTCAAGGGATTAAAAAGGAATATAAATCTATGTCTAGTGTTAGACATAAAAATAAATAAAACATCTTATTTTCAATAGAGCCTAGAGGTCTCTGATTTCAGACCTAGATTAATCAAAAAGGAAAATAGATTCTAAAGGTTTACAAGAAAAGAAATGATATACATGTAGGGAGGAAGAATTTGTTAAAAGAAGATTAAAATGAAAGGAATCAAATTACCATAATGCTTAATTTCAATGACTTATGAAAGAACAAACACTTTTGAATTGAATTGAATTGAATTTATTTAATTACAGTAAAACTTAGGCCTACATCAGCCTAAAAAGACTCCTTTTCAGCAAGTCTGTGTTACAAACATAAAACAGATCATACAGACACCAATCTGAATATAAATACGTAGGAAAAACTACTTAAACATGACATATACAAACCAAAGTGAAGAGAGAAAGGTCATAATACACAAAAAGGAATAACATAACAATACATGTTGATGTACACACATTGACAGAAAGTCAGTATAAAAAGTGTCATATATATGAATGAAAATGAAACAACAAAATTAAATTTAATTAAAGAGCTTGCACATCAAATTAAAAAAACAAGCATGAAGGTATATATCAAAAATGTATATGAATAAATTAGGAAGAAGAAAATTAAACTTTAGATTAAAAGGTAACATATTAAATGAAATAACAGACAAAGACATGAAAAGTGTGATTCAAAATCAATGTTGTTGTTGTTGGTAAATGTTTAGTGGCGTTCATTCAGTAATGAATATATACGCCATAAATATCTTCAATTTGATAAGAAAATCAGTTAAAGTCTAAACTGAGAAGAAAGATTTGTAATGAAATAATTAATTAATAAGTAACGCAATTTATTCAGAGTCTCTCTGGATGGTTTTCAACTTCGTGTTTCTGCTTTTTTTTTTTTTTTTTTTTTTATAGTTCAATCTGGTCAGCCCGGTTTCGATGCATGAAAACTAGCTTTGCCCCCGATTTGAAACAGGCTTCTCGGCTACTCGGCGTGCGTGCGCATTGATCTTTTTATTTTGTAACGCACGGTGCCTAGACCACTCATAAACACAGAAACACTAAATTGAGACACATCGCACAGAGGCGCTCCTGTAACCGATAAAATCAATAGGGGAAGAGTTAGGGTAGATCTACATCATAATTGTCTCAGGCATAGGATAAGATAAGAAAAGGTAAAGAGAGAAAGAATGTGAGAAAAGGAGATTTTTTTCAGAAAAGCATTGATATTAGTATAGACCTACACTCTTTTCACAGGTTTCACGGCAGTGCAGTGCATACCGATGGTGGGTTGAGGGCGGGTGCGTGCCTGTGTGAAGTTATCTACCGTATATGAGGATCTGAGACATTACAGTAAATAACTTCACACAGGCGCACATCCGCCCACACCCACCATCAGTATGATTGTGCAGCGGTTTGCTGTGAAACCTGTGAAAAAGTGTATATCCGAAAAATGCTCCAAAAATAACAAGAAATTTGACACGAAACAGACCTAACTTTAGATCTATTGAGGTATTCATAACGACTTTTGACTCATGATCTTTATTTGGACATTTAATGAATAATTACTTCATTTTGGGTATGTTTTAGTAGTATCTCGGCAGCCAGAGTTACGGGACACATTTTAGATAGGTTTCTGAACAAGCGCCTCAGTGTCATCAGCATCATTTTACTTTCCAAGATCAGATCACAGTTTCAGACTCGACTGTACCCGACCATCACAAACACGAAAAACCACACGTGGGACCATTATAAACATTTGTGCTGCTGTACCGCAGTAACTTGAGCACACATATTCGATTTAAACTTACCATCTCCTTGTGATATTGTTTCAACCTCAACGCCCATGGTTTATTTACCCCTTGAAGTGTAAAATATGCTCCAAAAGCCCCCCAAAGATGATATATTTTGAAGTCAATCGCACACAAAATTAGCGACACAAAAACAAGGTTATATAGTCTTGCTTCCAGACTTAGCAAAATCTTACAATACGGATTTTGTTCAAAATAAAAAATAGCTAAAACAGCTAAATTTGCACTTCAGAATGGAACTACAACACATTGCATGTATATATCAGTGGATCAGGATGGGAGCCCGGGTTTGAAGGGCAGGGTAAAAGAGAAGGGCGCAAAAATGCAACTTTAGGTGATCAAGATGAAGCATAGTAGGAATGACTGTACGAGTAAACTAAAATGTTTTATGCCCCCTCCCCCTAATAGTAATACCCAGTCTATATTGAATTAGAAAAATATATTTTAGAGAGTAATGTGGATTACCTTTTGGACAAATGATCGTTTCTTAAAATCTACTCTTGTACATGTTATTTTTTCTCTCTCTCTCTCTCTCTCTCTCTCTTTCTAATTTTTTTTTTCTCCATTTTTTTCTTTGAAAGCTCAATCAATAATCAGCCTTTTAACAAGTTGTACCGGCAACACATTTTCAAGTTTGCTGCTTCCACCCCTCGCACCCCCCCCCCCCTCTTTCTCTCTCTCCCTCTCACTGAATGAGTTTTGTCTTTTAGTATTTTAGTCTTTGATAGCATGTTCATAAACGAAAACAACAAGAAGGTTTTCTACAATCAATCGGTCGAGACACAATTTATATTTTTCATCATAGCATGTTCACTTTATTCATTATGTCAAACCATACTTTGGCTTAATAATCTGAATGAAAATACACTGAAGTTGTACATGTATTTAGATTATGCGATATACTGGTAGGCCTCCCTTCCAGAAATCAGGCAGAATTCATTAATGGTTTGTATATCCAGTGGCCTCAGCAGATAGTTTTCTTAATATATCACTCCTCTCAACTCACAGAACAAAGTAGAGGTGTCGTGGTCGAGTGGATATTTCACCGGACTGTCGATCACAAGGTCCGCGGTTCGAGTCGCGCCGTGGCACTAATGTCCTTTGGCAAGACATTAATCTACGTTTGCCACACTCGACCCAGGTGAGGTAAATGGGTACCTGCATGGCAGGAACTAAAATACTATAGCGCCGTAATGGCAGCCATGCTGAAGCCGGGGTAATAATTTCCAAAGCTCTTTGGAAGCGCATAGACGTTATAATGTGATATGCGCTATACAAGAACCAAATATTATCAATATTATCAAAGTAGGCCATTTGATTTACATTATTCTTATTGCCACACAGATGCCTTTTCCTTGTATAACAGGAATAAAGCAAATCATAACGACTAGATTGTTTGTAAATGTGCATCTCTTGAATTTGTTAAAAGTCACTCACATTGTTTTGTCACAGTGGGAAGTCACATTAATTACTTAAGTCGTCTTAAACACATTTTGATACAATAAAGGTACTATTTATTATTATTCAATGTATTCATAAGTTATATTGGCATTTAATGCCACACAGTTGTACATGCCGTACATTGTCATACATCACAGAGTAGCATAATAAAACTCTGGTCCTGGTCATGGGACCGTGTTCCGGAACAACTAATATGCATGAAGTAAGTCATAAGTCAAGCGAGAACCATTAAATCAGTATCGCATACGATACTGGAGATGATTAATCCCTTTAGCTGGGTTTGAAACACGATTACATACGACGCACCCGATTTCTTGGAGCAGTATCAAATGTAATAGTTAGTTATCCTCTTTCTGTTTATAGGCAAATACTAAAGATTGCCAGGTCGATATGGACAATGGCTATTTGATCAACCAGATAACTTAGTTGCTCGCATAAAACTAAAAAGTCAATGAACAAAGAATTTGTTGTAACAATGAAGTTTTGCCTTCATAGAATTGAAAGCAATGCTGACAATAAAGACTCAAGTTATCACTTACGGTAGTACATAACCATGGCACTAAAATCACTCGTTTGATCCTTAATCAAGATAATAAGTGCTCGTGAGGCAAATTCTGATCCATATTAAATAAATGGTGAACAGAAGGTTTACACAGACTATTAAAGCGGCCTCGTCACTCTTTATTTATGTCCTAATGGATTTCCATTCAGACTCTTGATATTCTCAAAATATTGCTCTATGCATTACTGTGACCCGTCAAAAAATTGATCATAAAAAGTGAAATAATGAACAAAGGTCAAATATAATATAGTAGCATTTAACCAAACTTGCAGAGTAAAACTGCAGTGCAGATTTTCTGATTGACCTTTGTGACAGATAATTTCATGAAACAGTAAAAAAGAAAGTACACTAGAAATTGAAGCTATTATGATTTTCTGGGGATAATATAAGGAATCTTTATAGTCTTGAACCAGAGATATTAAAGATGAAAAACATTTTCATAGTGATATATGAAATGCATAATCAACTTAATGCAAAACTGCATGATATATATGACAATTAAACACATTTGGGATAAAATTGCACAAAAAAGAGAAATATTTTGTAAGCTTATAAATCAAAGATGATGCATATTTAGTAAACATATGACAACTAAGTATTTTTCACAACACTTAATGAAAAAAGGGTTAACATGCATTATGACTGTTGTGTTCTTATTATCCACTGCTCACTTCTTTCATAGAAAGATACACTGATAGACATGTAGGTCTACAGTTACGACGGATGTTCGTTTCATGCATAAATAATCATTTTTATCATGAAATTAGAAAAATTCTTAAAGAAGTAAATCTTATGTACACGTACATATATTTCAATTTTGTTCTTCACGTATTTGAACATGAAAACGCTTAAACAAAATATATCTGACAGCCATAAACCATTATTGATATGGGAAGAGTAATTGCATTTTGTCTTGTTTATAAATATTAAAGATAAACACCATAAAAGAACTAAAATCTAATGAGAAAAAGTAAGAGTGAACTAAATATGATGGAAATGTTTAGAAATTGGAAAACAAATTGAAAAGGGAACAAACATATAGTTGATACAGTACAACAATACACTCGACGGTGGCCTGTACTGCAACTGAAAAAGAAAGTCGATATTCTGGTGTTTGAACGAAGAAAAAAAATAAGTGGCAAAAAATTCTGGCATGGGACATGATTTTAAAGAAGACCCTGTTTTAACAGGAATTACAAGCATATGCATAAGAATTAGAACCTGTCAAAGAAGTGGCCAAAAGTTGGCCAAAGTTGGCCAAAGAAGAAAGGGGAAGAAAAGGAGATAATCAGAGCTAGCGCAGACAAAAAATGACTTTAAAAGCGTCAGTACGATAAGATGCTAAGTATTTTGTTGACATGGCCCTGGTCCTGCTTTCATTGATCACTTGATATATATCCTCGTTTATAATTTAGATACAACAAATTTTAACATGAGGGCAATAGGGCATTGTGCTGGTCTTACATGCAAAACAATCTTATCAATATTATACTCAACAATTAAATTCCTGTATAACCAGAAAATTTTGTGACACAAAACTTTTTTCAAAGATGACCATTTTTATGGCAAAAGTCTTTCATGAATTAAGACAGATTTAAGCCTTGTTCCGATGGCCGTTACCTCTGTGTTAAAGGGATCCGGTAACTTTGTCTCAGATTCTGAAACAAAATTCTGGGTTTAGCTCGTGCTGCAATTATAATTATAAACCTTTAAGTCAGTCAGGAACCCCATGACTTTTACAAGCCGATCGCCTGTTTGACAGAGCTGCCAACCTCCAGAACAGAAAATCAGTAATCACAAGGGTCAAAATCAGTAATTTCCTATGCGGCGCTATGAATCTAAAAAAAAACAGCACGCCGACACGATTATCTGATATTTTTGGTGATTTTACTCACACAGTTGTTAAATACTGATATTCAGGTCATCACAACACAGTTTTCAATGAAAAATGGCTTCTATCAGTACGGAATGTTGTCTCAAATTCAGATTAAAAAAAAAAAAAAAAAAAAAAAAAAAAAAAAAGATCATTTTTTTTTAAAAATCCGTAATTTGAGACAACATTCCGTAATGATCGTTAATTTCCGTACCAATTACGGGAAATCCGTACTTGTTGGCAGCTCTGGTTTGATAATCAAGATATTTTTGATTAGAATTACAAATTTTGAAAACCGTTTGCCAAACGGTTTTTATAACACTACAGTCTATTGGGGAAAACGAGTATGGTAAAACCGGTCACTCAAAGATTTTTACTTTTTTGAGGCAGTTCTTGATCATTTTGAAGCGCAATTTTTTTAGGGCTTCGATTTTACACCATATCACAGACACTGATAGTACGTAGGGCCGTGTATCTTAGATTTAACATTGTTAAACGATCCCTTTAAAGTATACCAGTAACAGTGAACTACCAGAGACCAAGGGAACACACGAATACTTACGTATTAGTGGATCATTAAAACTATACCATATGCATGAAAATAGCTCTCCAGCAAACCATTACAAAAGCACCAAAATGCCCTAGGGTAATTTTTATCTTCGTACGTTATTGCTACATTTTTCCAAAAGTCCTGACAGAGCTTCTTGTTGATAAAATTGTATCTGCTCCAAGTTTACATGCATTGCAAGTCATGAAGTGTAGAACTCTTGTCCCTATGTTAGAAGTCCGCAGTAAGAGAATTCACAGGTGATGCATCTGGGGCCTATTTCACAAAGCTTTTTTTCAATGACAAATTACTAAAATCAGTGACAAATCTGCTGATAACCAATCAGAAGCAAGGATTTCAGTAGCTTATAACAAAAACTGTCACTTGTCACTGATGACAAGTTTTGTGAAACACCCCCCTGATCTCCAGTGTCAAAGTTGAACTTCACAATGAACCAGTTTCTCGAGGTTGTAGATAAGTCAGGCAAGTCAGCTGCTTCTCTATAGATGCTCAATATTTCAACTGCAAAAACGAAAAAAATAGAAGATAAATTTAATAATAATGATAATGATAATAATAATCTTTTTAGTCAACTCCAAATTTTATTAAACCGAAAATGGAAATTCTTTTTGCCCAATTGATCGTGAGCCCGGCAGCCACTGAGCAGCGCCAGATTGACGTTGCTCTATCCCCTTATTGTTGAACGCCAAACAAGGTAGCAGCAACTCCCGTCTTTTAACGTCTTTTGGTATGACGCGGCCGGGGTTCGAACCCACGACCTCCCGGTTGTGAGGCGGACGCTCTACTGACTGAGCGAACAATTTACCCAATCAATGGAATATGATTAACTGATATCAGAAGAGGTGAAAAGCTGGCAAGAAAATAAGAATAATGAAAAGTGTAGCTCACAGTTTGAATAAATTGTGCAACCTTTTTTGCAATCCATGAGTTTATCCCATGATCATTACAAATTGTCAAATAAAACATCGATCTATAACATGCAGTATTTCATGATTTTTTTTAAATTTGCCAAATACTACACTATTTCTAATGCTGTTTGGATTATGTGTAAAGAATAAATAAAACAGCATAGAAGATCATATGGTAATTTGTCAGCACTGCAATAAAATTATGAATGTTTCAATGTAGTAATACAGTCAAATCTGTCTATACTCTATAGCGATCGGCCAAGGGAAACACAAAAACTGGTCTATGTACCGGTAGCCAGGTGGTCTCTGTAGACAGGTTACTTTAGCACATGTTTCAATGAGAAACAATTTTCAAGGGAAACAAAAAATGTGGTCTTTGTATACAGGTTACCTTAGTACATGTTTCAATGAGAAACCATTTTCAAGGGAAACAAAAAAATGTGGTCTTTGTATACAGGTTACCTTAGTACATGTTTCAATGAGAAACCATTTTCAAGGGAAACAAAAAAATGTGGTCTTTGTATACAGGTTACCTTAGTAACCATTTTCAAGGGAAACAAAAAAATGTGGTCTTTGTAGACAGGTTTGACTGTATGACATGAGTGTCATTAAACAGCAAATAACATTGCAATTTTTCTTATCACTTGGATGAGGAGTGTTTCAAGTGAACAATGATGATGCTAAAGCAGGCATACCTCAGTAACAACTCCGGCTGCGATGGTGGAGCCTCCGTACCGCAGCATAAACCTTCCCAACTCCTTATAGTCCTTGTAAAGCTCGAGACATACCGGTCTGCTCGTCTCCAACTCAATGATTGCATTCATCTGTTTGGTGAGGCATCTGGAAAAGAAGGTGAAATTGCAGCAAAGACATTGGACTAAGTTTATAAAAAATAGAGAAATTGTAGAAGAAAAGAAAATACGGGAGTTTCAAAATCAAATACTTTAGAACATGACACCTCCAAAACACTACCTGAAACAAATAAGAATTCTGGCGCTGCAAACTTGAGATTAATTATTGGACTTGCGATTGATTTTGATCAATCATTCACGACAGTATATAAGACGGGGCTCTGAGAATCTTTAGAAATATTCCTTGACTGACATAAGGTACTGGTACAAGGTTTGAATCCCTGTGGCAACACTCACATCCTTTGGCAAGACATTAATCTACGTTTGCACTTTGCACTGATAACAGCTGCCGGAGCTAAAGCTAGGATAATCATTTTTAAAGCGCTTTGGAAGCGCTTAGGGACATTTTATAAGATGATGACTTGGATCCTAATCAAATGATTGGTTGAAAGCATACACGTGACCAGGCATTTTTTTTGCCTAACACGTAATTTGGATCATGACCAGTCATTATCCAATTCTATTGACTGGTCATTAGTAAAATCATGTTATAAAACATAATCTTATAAAAACAAGTAATACATATGATTTTGTTCGGGCATTAGTAAAATTACCCACAACCGGTACCTTCAAAACAGCCCAAAAACCCTCGGCTACCACCTGGGACGTGTTAGACTGTTCCAAAGGTGTGGGTAACTCTTACTAATGCCCTCCCTGCTGTGTATTATTTGTATAATATCATAATGTGTTATCCGCTATATAAGAACGGAAGATTATTAAAGTAAATACGAAGTGCACCCATGACCTACTTTGGTTTCTTCTGTACAACCTCTCCTGTGCTTTTATGAAGAACACTGACTAGCTTCTTGATGACAGCAGGCTCACTCACTGACTGGTAGTGGACAAGTACCTGGGCAAAGATGGAGAGCAATTAAAGAGAAGGTTGAGTTCCGGGAAGAGGTGAAAAATAATTTGTGAGCGTTATCATTCTTATTATGCAAGTGTGGAAGAACATCAGATAAGTCATGTTCCCTGAAAAGCATGGCTCTTCAAATGCCTTCATATTCTAAATATGTCATGTTAACATCGTAAAAATCCAGGGTAGGATTTTTACGCCATATGTTCGTGTAGTCCCATATACATCTTTCTGTGTACAATGTTTGTAACTTTACCAAGACTTGGCCAAATTTCTTATCATTTTGATGATTCCAGAACCTTGCAATACACACAAATTCTTATATGCTAGATGATCAACCTTTTCTGGTCGATTCCACACCGTTTCTTTCGCAAAGCAATTGCATGACCAGAACTCAACTTCATCTGTAAAACAAAACGGTTGTAGTGATCAATAGGATCATTTGTGGAATATGACTTTGAAGGGAAGTCCACCCTGGTATTACTTTGGTTTTAAAAGAAGCAGAAAAGTGAGAGGAACAGTTCAGTGAAAGTTTGAGCAAGTTCCGATAAAAAAATAAGAAAGTTATTAATTTTTTAAGTTGCAATCAAGCGAACACAAATTGTCGACTCTGTGACTTATCTTGCAAGCTCCTCTCCAATTTGCTCTGTACCAGCAATATCAGAAATTTTCATTTTCCTTCAAGAAAATTGTCAATCATACATGCACCCTAAACATAATTATTGCAGATGTGTTTCTATTATTATATATCAATAACAAAGAAAAAGAAAGTTTTTGAAATTTAATATACAGAGCAAATTCATAATCAGTATCAATATCATGAAATCCATATTTTCCTGTAAACAAAAATGGATGCCTTCCCTATTCTCTTTTGTTGTAAGAAGTATTCCTCAATCATCATTTACCAAAGGAAGATGTGTTGGGGTCTAGTGTGTAAGTCGCCGGACTGTAAAGCACGAGGTACAGGTTTAAATCCCAGCCCGACACTAACGTCCTTTGGCAAGATGTTAATCAACAAGTGCAACTCTCCACCTAGGTGCTAAATTGGTACCCGGTAATGCAGTGTGCTCAGCACTGTGAGCATCTGTAAAATGACGCCTGGCTGGAATACGTCACAGGGAGTGGAGAATGTGCACACATTGTGTGCGGGCGAGCTTGAATCTGATGAACAGGGTAACAATATATCTGCAAAGCCCTTACAGGCATCGTTGATGTATTAAGCGCTATATTGAAGCGGAATATTATATTAGCAAAGGAATGATTTTGAGAAGATAAACAAGTTTACTTACTGGAAAGCCCTTAGTTAGAGGGACCTCAATGTTGAAGATGACTACTCTAGCTTGGAACCGTGTCGAGGCTCTGATGGGGTCATGATAGGTACAAATCACACTCCCGATCCTGAAAGGTCGTGAAAAGGTCATGAAAAGGTCATGAAAAGGTCAATATAAAGTTCAAATATATATTTGAACTTTTGCAGAGACCCAAATTCCATTAGATTTCTTTACCTTTACATGTATTGATCAGTGACCTTCGGATGTTTGTATAATTTGTATTTCTTTCTTTTTTACACTTGCAATATCTTTTATATACATATATATTTTTTATTGAATGGATTGAATAAATCTTGAACTGAACTGAAAAGGTCAATAAATTAAATCAAAATTCTGCAGTGGTACAAATAAGTCTTGGACCACTGGATAGGGCACCAAACCATGGTCCAGCTGGTAGAGGGTTTAAATCCCTGTCACAGGACCGATGTCATTTGTGGCAAGACATTATTCTAACTTAGCTTCATACTGTAAAACACACTGTAAATTCTGATGCATTATCTGAAATAAATGCTATTTCACTATTACATGAATGATGAAACAGATAGTAATTCATGTTCATCTAATTTATGCTCTTCATACTTGCTTATCAATTCATAAAATGTCCAGGAGTAGAGCCATTATTCTATTTATGGAAATGCATGCATTCTCCTAATGCAATCTGTCATGTGACCTTACATGGTAAAATAAATAGAAACATAGGCATGAACCTGGAAATGATCTGTTAGACCTACATGTAGATAGTAAAATTTACTATCTGGTACTAACTGTTACCATCTCAATTATTTCCAGAATTTTGAAATCCTGTAGTAACATGAAAAAAGGTCGGTTTCAACAAATAGGCTAACCATCCTGCCAGAGATTCTGTAATCATGATATTTCATTCAATTTGCCAACAGGGGGGTGTTTCACAAAGATCCTAAGTTGAAATTATCTCTAAGTTGGACTTAACAATCATGGAAAGCTGTTAGCATCTATGAACATATTTTGTAAAAACTTATTTTAAAAGGCATAAAATGTTGATTTAAATCATTCATATTTTCTATTATCAAGGAGATTTCATGTTCTTGATGTGGAATTTATAAAAAGTTTAAAATACTTGAATATATTTTATTTTAAGGCTACAAATGGCTCTCCATAACTTCTAAGTCCAACTTAGAGTTAAGTTTGACTTAGGATCTTTGTGAAACACCCCCCTGGTTATAATACGAACACTGGCTATAACTCACGTGAGATTCATCTGATCGACACCTGTGATGACTATGGTAGTGTGATCACCCGCACAGGCCCACCTTGTGTCTTCATCGTGTACTGTGATTACTGCACAATGGAAATCAACAATGGGTCAATAAGCTACATGTGCATAAAGACCACCCAAGGGAGACAAGAAAAGTGCTCTTTATAGGCAGGCGGTCTTTACGTTACAGTGAAACCCGTCTATAAAGACCACCCAAGGGAGACAAAAAAAGTGGTCTTTACAGGCAGGTGGTCTTTACGTTACAGTGAAACCTGTCTATAAAGACCACCCAAGGGAGACAAGAAAAGTGGTCTTTGTAGGCAGGTGGTCTTTACGTTACAGTGAAACCTGTCTATAAAGACCACCCAAGGGAGACAAGAAAAGTGGTTTTTATAGGCAGGTGGTCTTTATGTACAGGTTCCTTTAGTACAGTGAAACCTGTCTATAAAGACCACCCAAAGGAGATAAGAAAAGTGGTCTTTGTATGCAGGGTGTCTTTACGTACAGGTTCCTTTAGTACTGTGATTACTACACAATGGAAATCAACAATGGGTTGATAAGCTACTTGTGCAAATACAGAGAAACCTGTCTATAAAGACCACCCAAGAGAGACAAGAAAAGTGGATTTTGTAGGCAGGTGGTCTTTACATTACAGTGAAACCTGTCTATAAAGACCATCCAAGAGAGAAAAGAAAAGTGGTCTTTAAAGGTAGGCGGTCTTTACGTTACATTTAAACCTGTCTATAAAGACCACCCAAGGGAGACAAGAAAAGTGGTCTTTGTAGGCAGGCGGTCTTTACATTACAGTGAAACCTGTCTATAAAGACCACCCAAGAGAGAGAGACAAGAAAAGTGGTCTTTATAGTCAGGTGGTCTTTACGTTACAGTGAAACCTGTCTTTAAAGACCACCCAAGGGAGACAAGAAAAGTGGTCTTTGTAGGCAGGCGGTCTTTACATTACAGGGAAACCTGTCTATAAAGACCACCCAAGGGAGACAAGAAAAGTGGTTTTTATAGGCAGGTGGTCTTTATGTACAGGTTCCTTTAGTACAGTGAAACCTGTCTATAAAGACCACCCAAGAAAGACAAGAAAAGTGGTCTTTGTACTAGGCAGGAGGTCTTTATGTACAGGTTCCTTTAGTACTGTGATTACTACACAATGGAAATCAACAATGGGTTGATAAGCTACTTGTGCAAATACAGAGAAACCTGTCTATAAAGACCACCCAAGGGAGACAAGAAAAGTGGTCTTTATAGGCAGGTGGTCTTTACATTACAGTGAAACCTGTCTATAAAGACCATCCAAGAGAGACAAGAAAAGTGGTCTTTATAGGCAGGTGGTCTTTACATTACAGTGAAACCTGTCTATAAAGACCACCCAAGAGAGACAAGAAAAGTGGTCTTTATAGGCAGGTGGTCTTTACATTACAGTGAAACCTGTCTATAAAGACCATCCAAGAGAGAAAAGAAAAGTGGTCTTTAAAGGTAGGCGGTCTTTACGTTACATTTAAACCTGTCTATAAAGACCACCCAAGGGAGACAAGAAAAGTGGTCTTTAAAGGCAGGGTGCTCTTTATGTACAGGTTCCTTTAGTACATGTTTCAATGAGAAACCATTTTTCAAGGGAAACAAAAAATGTGGTCTCTGTAGACACCCAAGAGAGACAAGAAAAGTGGTCTTTGTAGGCAGGGTGTCTTACTGTCTTTACATGTATGTACAGGTTCCTTTAGTACATGTTTAAATGAGAAACCATTTTACAAGGGAAACAAAAAAAATGTGGTCTCTGTAGACAGGTGGTCTTTCTATACAGGTGGTCGTTAAAGCCAGTTAGACTGTACTTGCATTGTCTTAAAAATAGGACTACAACATGGAAAACTAGATGGAATTCGACTGCGCGCAGTCGAAAATGATGCCTCCGTCATAGAGCAATTTTACGAACCGAAACGGAAGAAATTTTTCAAATTCAAGTTCAATTGTAATCCATTAACCCTATTTAGCCCGGGGGGGGCTTGAGAAGCCCCCCCCTCGACATTTTTCGCGATAATTTTTTAACGCAAGAAAATCTTGCACTGAAACTTTGTGACTTTTTTCTTTCGAGTCTTGCGCAACTTTTGAAAGAAATTTTTCGAAAATCGGACCTACCATTACAAAGTCACGTGTCCTTTTGTCTTCGCATGTCAGCCCGAAAATCGCTCATTTTTGTGATTTGTGTACAAAACATATGGAAATCTCATTTTTCAAATAAAGAGGTAAAACATTGGTTATTTGGTCTTGTTTAGATTTTAGGTGTTTATTTTGGGGTCAAAATAGTTGAATTATAGATGGAAATGAAATAAAACAACAAAAACAATAAAATACATAAGTAAAAAAAACAAAGAAATACATAAGAAATTATCAAAACTATAGATAACATAAGGAATAACCCTGGTTTTTCAAATTTTTGTGTTGTATTATTATTCCAAATGGTCTAACAAATATATGTAGTGAGAAAGAATGCTTAAATATGAATAATGTCTGATTTATGGGCAAAAATGTGAATTTAGTGACCTTATTTGCATAAATTACCATAAATATGCAAATGAGTGAATTTTTCAAAAAAATTGAAATTACCATAGTATTCTATACACTTCACTTGACATGTATGCAAATTTTCGCGGCGATCGGGCGTTTCACGGCCGAGATCATAGGGGGGGGCCTGAGAAGCCCCCCCCCGGGCTATGCAGTTTCAAAATAGCCCGGGCTAAATAGGGTTAACATGTTCTCAGAATATCGTGATTACAAGCCATTTCTCATATACATATATGACCCTTTGATCTTTGACCTCATGACCCTAAAATCTACTCAGTTCATTGGCTCTGCAAGATTTCCTGAGTTAAATAGTAATCCATCTGTCAGTTCTAATGAGAATGCGTCCACAAGCTATTTTTGCATACATAATGAGCCCATGACCTTTGATCTTATGAACCATTCATTGGCTCTGCAAGATACATAAATGATCTAAGTTTGGCAGGAATCCATCAATCTGTTCTAATGATAATACGATCACAAGCTATTTTTGCATACATAATGAGCCGCATGACCTTGACCTTTACCTCATGACCCTAAAATCTAATCAGTTCATCAGCTCTGCAAGTAACATACATGACCTAAGTTTGGCAGGAATCCATCAATCGGTTCTTGAGATAAGGCGATCACGAGCTGTTTTTGCATACACAATGTGCGCTGTGACCTTTGACCTCGTGACCCCAAAATCTAATCAGTTCATTGGCTTTGCAAGATACATACATGATCAAAGTTTGGCAGGAATCCATCAATCGGTTCTTCAGATAACGCGATCACAAGCTGTTTTTGCATACATAATGAGCCCTGTGACCTTTGACCTCGTGACCCCAAAATCTAATCAGTTCATCAGCTCTGCAAGATACATACATGACCAAAGTTTGGCAGGAATCCATCAATCGGTTGTTCAGATAATGCGATCACAAGCTGTTTTTGCATACATAATGAGCCCTGTGACCTTTGACCTTTGACCTCGTGACCCAAAATGTAATCAGATTGTTTTCCTATAGTGATACACACTATCACTAAGTTTGAAGTTTAAATCTCCAGTGGTTCTTGAGATATCATGATAACAATCTCAATGTATGGAATTTCATAAGTTGACCTCTGTGACCCTTGACCTTTGACATACGTGCTCCAAAATCTAATCAGATCGTCTTCCTATGGTGATACATACTATCCTTAAGTTTGAAGTTTAAATCTCGAATGGTTCTTGAGATATCGCGCTAACAAACTCAATACAAGGAATTTCATAAGTTGACCTCTGTGACCTGTGACCTTTGATCTACGTACTCCAAAATCTAATCAGATCGTCTTCCTAAGGTGATAAATACTATTCCCGAGTCTTAAGTTTAAATCTTAAATGGTTCTTGAGATATTGTGATAACGGTCAAACGGGACGTACGGACGTACGGACGGACAACCCGAAAACATGATGCCTCCGGCACCACCTTCGGTGGCGGAGGCATAAAAATCTTCTCCTTTGACTATCTTTACCATCACTATGAACATGACGGACAAAGAAAAAGGACAAAATATACAGTTCCTCATTCTACCCTCAACAATTGCTGTGGTAGACAACGGAACATCCCTTCACTGCTATTATGTAAAAATGTGTAGAACAGGTGTCACATGCATATTCACCTGTTCTACTTATTTTACATAATAGCAGTGAAGGGATGTTCTTTTGTCTACCACAGCAATTGTTGAGGGTAGACTAAGGAACTGTATATTTCGTCCTCTTTCTTTGTCCGTCATGTTCATAGTGCATGTACCCTGATTACTGGTGCAGGCGAGGGACTCAAACTGTACATACATCAACAAATAGAAGAAAATGAACTTGAAATCCTGTTTTGTGAATTTCACTTCATGTGCTGTATTGAATCAAACACTGTAAAAATATCAGATGGAAATTAACACATTGAATATGAACCCTGTAAACACGTCATGTATACCGGTGGATAAGTCTGGTTCTCCGATAAAACTTCAAGATGTAGGTCCCTTTCCTTGCTTAAATACATTTACAAAGTAAATACATAGTTTTCTACATTGATCCTTTTCAAAACAAGCATCAAACCAAATAACAATTTTAAAAAACTACAATATCTTATAACCCTCTCCATTATATATAATGTATTATATAACATCTAAGAAGATCCTTGTCATCTGATTGGAGGATTGTTGGTCACATGATATTCAATGATTAATCTATTTAACGTCTACGTCATTTAGCGTGCATTTTGGTGATATGCTTATTATGCTACCCGTATTGTTTGCCGAGTTGTGACGTTGTATTGCAGCACAACCTTTGACACATACATTCACAAGCAGGTCAATCGGGTCATCAAGGCGGACAGTAAAAACAGCAATTTTGTGCTATTAAACGACGCTGAACTTGATGTTATATAAAACATTTAATGAATGTTTTTTATTCATACACAGAGCTGCCAACCTTGTGTGACCAAAAAAAGGAACCATGATGACAAAAAAAAAGGAATTTCAGGCAAAAAAAAAAGGAATACTTTAAAACAAAACTTACAACCACGCGCGACACACTTCCAATGCAGAAATGTCCATTCCTTATGCTTTTTTCTCCATACAAGCAGGTATTTTTTTTTGGGGGGGGGGGGGGTTATTTTGGTATTATCAGCATTTCATTATTTTTGAGAATACTTTTTTCTCCACGTATGTTTTCAAGTATATTTTAAACTTACTTTTTTATTGAATTTGGAATCAAATCAACATTTTGGGGTGTAATTAATTTTTTTAATTTTTTTTAAACAACATAATACCGTACTTTGGAGGAAAAGATGGAGTAATTCCGGCAAAAACGGAATGGTTGGCAGCTGTGATAACAGTATAAGAGAAAATATGTGTATCATCTGGACGTCTTACCTTTAATGAGCCCATTCTCCCCAGCAGGCATCACCATGATCTTTTCTCCAATCTGAAGGCTACCCGTTTCGATTTTCCCTGAGACACTCACCCCTGACCCCATACCTAAACAAAAACAGTTAATTATCATAATTGTATTAAATCAATAGTACCTCTAAAGCCCCAAGGCAATTAGCCATTTAATGCGCCATATGTTAACAAGAAGAAACAAAAATCGACATCACAAGTGCCATACTCCTTGTCAACAGGTCCCATTTAACAAAACTTGTCATTGGTGACAAATGACACTATTTGTTATAAGCTAGAGAAATCCTTGCTTCTAATTTGTAATCGGCAGATTTGTCACAGATTTGTGTAGTTTGTCAATGAAAACAGGCTTTGTAAAACGAGTCCCACATCTTTTTAAAGCTCTAGAGTGCATGCAGGGCAGACCTGCCAACCTCTGGAGTTCAAAAACTGTATTCTTTAATCCCAAAAGTTGTATGGTGCTGACAAAAGTTGTATTCTTAAAAATAAACACGGACTGTTACGCGGATCAATGCCTCTTACAGTTCCTACATACAGGAAGAATTTTTTTAATGGATCATTGGTTGAATATGCATGATTTCGTCACAACTGGTGAGATGCTATATAGGACAGAAAGGGCATTTTGCCATTAAAAATGGCACACACACACACAAAATACCAACAACAACAAAAATTATTTAAAAAAAAAAAAAAAATTGTTTTGAAAATCATATTTTCTTGAGGAAAATCGTACTGTCATATTTGCTTCTAAAAATCGTACTAAATACGACTAAATCGTACTGGTTGGCAGGTCTGGCAGGGGTATCAAGTCAGTATTAGAAACCATCCGAAGCAAATGACTGAACTGCTACAAATATTTATGTTGTTGGTTACGTATGGGACATTAGTTACGTTGGTTATGTATGGGACATAACTAGGCGTTGTGGTGTGCACCTGTATTCCGGCTAACAATGGAAGTTACAAACTGATTCAGCCGAGGACGCAGGTTCAAAACTGAGTCACGTCTTTCGGACGGTGACGTTTAAAGGTCGGTCCCCAGATGTAAATAATCATATCTGATTGAAACACGTCTGTAAAAATCCAATACCCACACACACGTATGGGACAAATGAAATACCTCATATTTGCCGACAGATTTACACATTACACTTTCTCTACATAGGTACATGTACCCCCTATATTTTGATATGTGCCAGGACATCATGGAGACAAAGATTACTTGGGTGGTGCATTGGTAAGAAATTCCTTGAACTACAATGATTTTACAGTTAAACCAATCGCATTACAACTAGAAGTGAGAATCATCATAAGTCAATATTAAAATCGTGAGAATGGACTGCACTTAAGGCTCAAATTAATTTCTTTTCCACAGGGCTCTTCCACAAAAAAGCGCCTCTGTGAGGATTTTCAAGGGACTCTTTTATTACTCAGGGGGCTCTTTTTCAATTTGTACCCATGATACTCCTAAATTCTTTGCTATACCATCATTATCTTTATATTATTTCTTTAAGTCGGCATTTTCCCTCTTACAAATTAAACAAAGTACAAAGTAACAAAGGGGTTTCATCCTGTGACGACATTCTCTCCATTTATTCCCATTCGGCACATTATTTCCTCCTCATCATTCAGAGCAACCTTATTCACATTCTTTTTTTAGTCTTTACCATATCCTTCCACAACATCTTTGGTCTTCCTCTTCTCCTCAATATTGATTAACCGGTCGAGGTTCATTATTTGCTGGTCTTTCGGAATCACCAGATTTCAGAGGATTCACGCTTTTCACACCGGTACTACTGGCGCAGTACAGCCACTGTTGACGGCCGCACTGCACTGTGAGCTTCAGTTATTTGTATCGGTAATACTCATAGAGATATGGCGCCATCTCCCGGCGAAATAAGCGTACATTTGTTTACAATATGGCGGCCCAGTCGAGACACCATCAAATTCAAGCGAGAAATCCTGCAGGCTAATCTAACTTACATAGTTCCATTTCATTGGTTTATGGTTTGAAAGTTGGAACTCAATATTGTGTGAAAGTTATAACAGAAAAGATAATCTTTATTTTGTAATTCCACGTGGGCAATTTTGAATTTTGCAATCGCCCATCGCCCCAGTGAAAGAATAAGATTTCTACTCACCCTTGAAGACGTCTGATACACATAACCTCATGGACTGGTCTGTTGATCTCTTCGGTGGCTTCAGTTTGTCTGTAATGGAAAGAGAATGAAGATACAGTCAAACCTACTAAAGGTAATACAAAGTTTTGGTAAGGGGTCATGAATTTGGTTCAAATGAACATATTGGAAGCATATGCGATCCTACAATATTCAGTGATCGTTGTCGCGATTGAAATCGAGTCTAAAGTGATGAAATTGTAAATAATAAATTCTTTATGTTGTATAGTGCCCTCTCAAAGTCAAAATATTGATTTAGCTATAAAACAAAGTTATTTGACTAAAATCGACCAATTTGCTAATACCATTTGGAATATATATATATCACAACTGCATATTCTGAGCTTTTCATGGTCGCAGCTACATGTACCATCGTATGGCCGTAGGCGCTATTTGAAATTTATCAAAATTTACCGGGAGCACCGGTAAATTTTTATATTCAATTTTTCTCGAAAGCAGAAGTGTTTTAGGGGCCAATTTTTTTAGAGCTTACAATACATCCATATGGGCATCCAAAAATATTAACATTGTAAAGAATCACTATCCAGCCAATTTTCAAAAATTACCAAAACTTTGTAATACCTTAGAACACTTTTTTTGTTTCCCTTTGAAATTTTGTCTCAGATTCTGAAACAAATTCCTGGATTTTGCTCATGCTGCCATAATAATAATAAACCTTTAGGTCAGTCAGGAACCCCATGACTTTTACAAACAGATGGCCTGTCTGATTATCAAGATATTTATGATTGGAAATCGAAACCAGATGTTACGTTTTTCGAACGGGTCATAACACAACACTGAGTCTATTGGGGAAAACGAATATGGTAAAACCGGTCACTCAAAGATTTTTACTTTTTTGAGGCACTTCATGATCATTTTGAAGCGCAATTTGTTTAGGGTTTCAACATTACACCATATCACAGACACTGTATTATGTCACTCAGTAGGGGAGCCTATTCACATACAAGCTAGGCTTTTTATTTAGGCTCCCCACATTTTGCATTGTTCTACCCAGCCTGTTATATATACATATTTCAAAAGTTTGTATTTATTTTCCGTACATTATATTTGATTCGAAATCTTTAATTTATTATTTTTTATTTTTTCTTGAGTGAAATCTACTCTTATAATAATATATTAAAAAAAAATATGTATAAAAAAACATTAAAAAAAGAATATAAACTGTTTTTCTATGTAAAATGTGGAATAAATAAAACTTCAAACTTCAACCTTCAAACTGATAACACGTAGGGCCATGCATCTCAGATTTAACATTGTTAAACGATACCTGAACTTACCTATATGGTCCAGTAGGCACGTTTCAGAGTACCATGATGTGAGTGCGGGCTCTTTCGCCTGCTCTGTTAGATTCTCACCAGTCAGTCCACTGCAGGGTATATAAACCACATCAGATTCCTGTTGGCAAAAAACAGAACAACCCTTACTAAAATCTCCCAGGAAATTTGCTGAATAATGTGCGGAAATGTCACAGACTCGAAAGGCTTGTTCCACAAGATGCGGTAAAAGGCAGTGACTTAAAGATAAAGACCAGTTATAGTCATGCGATGGCATTGTGAAAGAAACGGTGTGCAATCGATCAGAAAAAGTTGATCATCTAGCATATAAGTATTGGTGTGTACTACAAGGTTCTGGAATCATCAAAATGATACGAAATTTGGCCCAGTCTTGGTCAAGTTACAAGCACTGTACACAGAAATATGTATCTGGGACTACACGAACATGTGGCGAAAAAATCTGTCCCGATTTTTATGATGTTACATGCCATATTTAGAATTAAGGCATTTGAAGAGCCATACTTTTCAGGGAACATTTGTTATCTGATGTTCTTCCACACTTGCATAATAACAATGATAACGCTCACAAATTATTTTTCACCTCTTCCCAGAACTCATCCTTCTCTTTAATAGTGAGGCAAAATGTTGTAACGACCAATGTAAATAAAATGCAAGTGGGCGTGAGCAAAGGGAAAACTGTTTCTGTGCTTAATACAGACCCCTAATACTGTACTAACTTATCTCAGTATTATATAAGATACAGGATTATGAAGTGCATATTTCAGTTTGTCAATTTTAGCAGGTTTGTTATTTTCCTTCTTTTTTTTTTTCTTTTTTTTACGGAGGATAAGGCTTAGACATGTTAAGATGCACATTGTGCTGTAGACTACAAAGTGTCCAGTTTGTAGGGCATACCATTTAATTTAAAGTTAATTGAATATTTCTTAGTGATAACATTAAACAAGGGAAACGCTCTCGGCGGTCTCGCCTGCATTACGCAATTTGATGATGAAAAATTGAGGTTGGAACATTATTTATAGGCAGGGTGGCCCATTAGCAGGCCCCCAAAAATGAAATCCTCTGAAAATAATCAGCATTTTGAAGTGAATATTGACCATGAATCATCAGAAGAATGTTTACTATTAATTGTACAAGGATCGATAACTTGAATGAGATATGAACAAATTAATTTTTAAAAAATGATTGATTAATTCTCATATTAAGTTGTAAAAACATAATTCAAGTCTACTGACCTAAAATGACCTTTGACCTTGTGACCTGGAATTTGTGTCATATGATTTGTGATACTTGATAACCCTTGGGTACATTTTTCATGGAATTTGAACAAACAATTTTGAAAATATGCTAAAAATTCAAGTTTGTTGTCAAAATCTAAGTTTGTTGACCTTAAATGACTTTTTACCTTAACTCAGTGACCTGAAATTCTACTCATATGATTGGGGATACTTGATAACCCTATAGTCCAAGTTTCATTGACTAAGAACTTATACTTTATATTTGTTGACGCCGTCACCGGAAAAACAGCGCCTATGTCTCGCTTTTTGCTACGCAGGCGAGACAAAAATGACTGATTTATGTTAAGATACTACTTAAAGACTAGATTTCTACTGGCACTCACCTTGAAACCTGCCTGCTTCAGGAACGCTCCCAGCTTCTTGACAATTTCTGAGAACCTCTCTTCAGACCATGACACCGTGTCCAGTTTGTTGACCCCCACCACCAGCTGTCTGACCCCGAGAGACCTCACTAGTAGGGCGTGTTCTCTCGTCTGACCTCCGGACTCAAAGCCGGTCTCAAACTCGCCCCTCGTTGCGTCTACTACTAGGATGGCAGCATCAGCCTGATTACAAATAAATAAAGCTACCGATTCAAGATTTAAGATTTTTGAATGATAATCAAAGTAGGATTAATATACATTTCACTAATTCGACCCTCCCAATATAAGATCGTTAAACTTACATGATGTAACAATCAATGATTTTCTATGTTAAGATATTATTACAGAATTAATTTGAAACTACGAGCTAGCAAAACTTAATAGTTCATTGGCCTGCACAACACATTACTTTGTCTTTGAGAGAGCCCCCTCCCCCCTTCCCCCCTCCTTGCTCAATAGCTTGGAGCTTTTTGCATTAAAATCGCTTATGGTTAAAACTCTACGTGAATTCTAAGTTTCCAATACAACAACTGAATCCCCACTGTCTTCAACTACAAGATAACCTCGAAAGTTAATACCACAAGCTAAATTTAAAGTTTATGACCCCTCACATGATCCTCACTGATAGGGCACACAAGGGCTAAGTAAGGCTGGATCCAAGTCACTTCTTCACCTTAACACTCAATATTCGAACCCGAGGACACTCCCTAAAGATTTTCAAGGAAAGGTCTCCTGCTAAACATAAGGAAATGCTTTTTCAGTAACAGAGTGGTGTCCGACTGGAATAGTCTCCCTCAAGAAATAATTGGCTCGAACTCCATTTGATATCTTCAAGATGAGACTGGATAAGCACTGGTGGTCTGAGCGATTCGAATTGGGTTAATTTAATATGATCAAAACCGTCCCAACTCTGCGCATGTGCAATAAGTTAACCTCTAGAACATAACCAACCCTGAAGAAGTGACCGAGGATTGCAGGATCTACCTCTCCTCATATCATGATGAAGCAATTTTATATTCAAGTTCCTATCCAATACCGCGAATAGCGACTACTTTGTACTTCTACAACTTCACATACCTGAGCGGCGCCAGTGATCATGTTAGGGATGAAGTCTTTGTGTCCTGGTGCATCAAGCAAGGTGACTAGTCTATGTGTCGTCTCAAAGCGCGTCAGACCGACGTCCATAGTGATGCCCCTGATAAAACAAAGTACAATGCTAGATTTAATAGCACTCTTCCCGTATTTCTAGTTTCGAAACAGTTTGACTTTTAATATTTACCTGAAAAGCAGGCTTGTGTTTATATAAGTAACTGTTTCTTATAAACGCTATAAACATGACGGACAAAGAAAGAGGACAAAATATACAGTTCCTCATTCTACCCTCAACAATTGCTGTGGTAGACAAAGGAACATCCCTTCACTGCTATTATGTAAAAATGTGTAGAACAGCTGTCACATGCATATTCACCTGTTCTACACATTTTTACATAATAGCAGTGAAAGGATGTTCCTTTGTCTACCACAGCAATTGTTGAGGGTAGAATGAGGAACTGTATATTTTGTCCACTTTCTTTGTCCGTCATGTTCACAGTGAAAGCACCTTGCCAGTTAACAGACCAAAACTTTTGGAGTATTATTACCTAGGTCACTGTAATGAATTACTGTTTTGCACATTCTCCACTCCCAGGGGAGCATCCCAGCTAGTCGCCTTTACACAGGTGCGCACAAGCTAATTCAATCACATGAATTTTCACATCCTAATGGAAGCCCGTTCGTGCACCTGGCTGGAGAAAAGCGAGTGAATGAAATGCCTCGCCAAAGGACATTTCGTGCAGGGGTCCAAATCCACGACCTTCGTATTTCGAGTCAAGGGATTAAACCACTAGACTATGACACCTCTACGATTGCATGCAAATGTAGGTGTACTAGCATCAAATTTTGGCTCAAGTTCCTCTTAGAGACACCTTGGCCCTGTTTCACAAAACTTGTTATTAATAACAACTGCCACAAATCTTTGATAAATCTGCTCACAGCCAATCAAATTCAAGGATTTCAGTAACTTATGATATGATTGTAACTTGTTATTGATAACAAGTTTCATGAAACAGGGCCCAGGTCATTCAAGGTTGATGCCTTATAAAAGGACAGTAGCATAATCCTTAATTTCAAACCTAGTATCTCTAACTTTCTAAATCACAATTCGAGCTACTGCAAAAACTGCTCATTCACCAATATCCCTGATGTTACATTTGTCTTGCCTAACAAGGAGAGTTTTATATAATTTATGATGTATGTTCAATCAATGCCATCACAGAGAAGAGAAACAATTTGGACTATTATGATGAGTATTTATTAATCCAATCATGTGATATCATCTGCAAGACGATCTCCAGCTCCCAAAATAATCATGGATATTTGAATCGTCAACCAGTGTCTGTCAACAAGAACGTAATCATAGGAAACTCTCGTCGTGGACGAGTGGATAGGTCACCAGACTGTGGATCACAACAAGGTCTGCGGTTCAAGTCCCACCGCGGCACTAATATCCTTTGGCAAGACATTGATCTACATTTGTCACTCTCCACCCAGGTGTTAAATGGATACCCGGTAGGATGCGAAAGCTAATGTGCTTAATAGATTAGCAAGTGTCCTGGAATGCTCCCCAGGGAGTGGAGAAAGTGCATACACTTACCTTCCCCTCTCCTCCTCAGTCTCATCTAGCACCCAAGCATATGCAAACGATGCCTTGCCCTGCTTACGCGACTCTGTCTCGTACTTATGCATAACCCTCTGGTTGACCTGACCCAAGAGGTAGAGAAGATGACCCATCAGGGTGGATTTGCCTGCATCCACATGACCAATGACCACCAGATTCAGAAGCTCCTTGCCAGCCTGCCGCTTCTCAAGCTCCTTGGCGATATCGACTGACTGTATGAGATAGATATGATTCGATAAGAGAGGATAAGACTAGATTGGGTATGATTGGATAACATTAGATATACATTGACCAATCAGGATGGATTTGCCTGTGTCCACTCGACCAATGACTATCAGGTTGAGAAGCTCCTTGCCAGCCTGCCGCTTTTCCAGCTCCTTGGTGATATCAATTGACAGTAAGAGAAGGAGATATCAGAGGAGATTAAATTAGATTAGAGCAGATAAAGTTGGATTAAATTTGATTAAATATAGATTGATCTGATCGTCAAGGTAGACTTTCTAGCTTCTACATCACCGATGACTATCAAGATCAGAAGCTCCTTGCCAGCCTGCCTCTTCTCCGGCTCCTTGGTGATATCAATCAACTGTAAGAGAAAGAGGGATCAGAGGGGATTAAAGGATATTAGGGCGGATTAGATTAGGTTAAATTTGATTAGATATAGATTGAGCCATCAAGGTTGACTTTCCAGCCTTTAAATGACCGATAACAATCAAGATCAGGAGCTCCTTGGCTACGTATTTATTGACGGACTGTAGAAGATGACGAGATTAGTGGTGATTAGATAAGATCAGATTGGATTGGATTAGATTTAGATTGACCCATCAGGTTTGACAAGGTGTAGTCCGTTGCTGCTCTGTCTTTTTTTCAATAGAGTGAAAGAGGTGACCAGAGTGGCAGTTACATGAATGATGAATGTAGGGCTACATGTTATAAATCTGTCCTAGATCAAAAAAATCCTGGGTACTTGCAGTAAAATTGTATTTCAAAAGAAACTGTAAATATTTAAGCCTTTTTTTAATGTCATTTCTTTGATAAGATACAAAGAAATTGAGGCATTATTTGAACCACACATAATACCAACTTGCAACACTTGACACTAGTGCAATGAATAGGTCTCAAACCTACATCTTTCCAATTCTTACACTACAGTGCGTCCCAGAAAAAACGAAACCGAGAATTATCGATGTTTTATCATAACTTAATCACATTTAAAATTGATAAATGACACATATTTGGAAAGCTTAGATCCTCCTCTTTCATGTGATGCAACTCATATAATACATATTTCACGCATGAGTGATTAAAATGAATTTGAAGAGAGGAAATCAAAAAGTCATTTGGCGGACGTTATCTGAATTTCAAGGAGAAAATCACATTTCTTGAAAGTAGAGTTTCTACCCTTTCATATGACACCTCAATCAGGAAAAATGAGCAAGGAAAGTTCTGTTTGTTTAAAGTAGTGCTTGCACTTCCATAATTTTATCAAACAAATTTGTTTTCACTGGGTGCCTGCCATAGCAACAAACAGAGTGACAAAAGACTTAACTCCATTTCGTTGACAATCAGCCGTAGACGAAAGACTTCATGCATGGCTGTTGTGATAAGTTATGATAAAACATCGATAATTCTCGGTTTCGTTTTTTCTGGGACGCACTGTATAACAGAGTGGTTTTGATTACAAAGAAGGAAAAAGTTTACTTACTAAAGCTTTTCTGCCCTCCTTTCTACTAGGCGTTGATGTTGCTGAGGAATAAGCTTGAAGGTCCGATTCACTGGAAACATTGGGAAGGGATTCCCTGCAAACAGAAAACAAGTAATATATATATATATATATTAACCATAAGCTTACTGTATAATTAATACTGTATAATTAATATAAAGTTGCAAGAAACTTTAGGTTAAGTGAATTTCAAACTTTCAAAGATCAGAAATCATATTCTGAAGCATAACAGGTTTGAGTCATTGAGTGGATCAAAAAGAATTTAAATTAAATTAAAGGTAAAGACCAGTAATGGTCATGCGATTGCATTGTGAAAGAAACGTTGTGGAATCGATCAGAAAAGGTTGATCATCTAGCATCTAGCATCTGCAAGGTTCTGGAATCATCAAAATGATAAGAAATTTGGCCCATTCTTCGTAAAGTTACAAGCACTATACACAGAAAGATGTATATGGGACTACCCTATCTCTCTCACACGACCATGAGAGAGATAAATTTACCAAATATATGAATTAGTAGGCGGTTTCCCGGCAAATTTTTTATCATCATGTATTAGTCAAAACATATTCTTTCACATGATTGGTAATGAGAGCTTCCATTTCATTTTTTGAAATTGGGGCGTTACCAATACTGGTCTTTACCTTTAACTAAATCATGCTGATATGACATCTCAAGCCACACACAGTGTGCAATCGACAGACACAGTTTCAAAACTAGAGCTGACTCTTGCAGTGTATTGAACACAAAGTAAACACAGAAAAGGTAAGCCAATCTCTAATTTATTTCTCGCTCTCACCTCAATACATGAGACGATTTAATTCTCCTAAACATATCTCTCACATTGGAGGACCTTCAGGAATAAGAGTCATATGTGATATGAAAGCAAAAGTTTTTATTAACTCTTATCATGCCACAGGGCTAATCCCCATTGTGCCAAGCCCTAAATCCCACCGTGCCAGGTTGTTTGGGAGATAATCTGATTAACGCGATGGTTCTATGAATAGCGAGTGCAAAATACACAGCACAGTCCAATGAGCATGAACAATAACTGCTATTACGAATGCTGCATTGCACACCCACGGCACTCAAGCGATGGCTCTCTCGCCTGTACAAAGCACTATAACGATAGCGTGCATGCAGCCTTATGGCAGGCTATGAGTTAAAAAGCAGACAAACCTGCTACTTCTCCTACTGCTACTGGTCTCTGATAACCTTGTGGGAGAAAGTGCCCCTTTACGTGACCCTGCTCCTTCAACTTTTGTCTCATCTTCCCCTCCTCCGGCTCCTCCTTCTCCTCCAGGGGATTTCCCTTTACTCGTGTCCTCAACGTTGACTTGGAACCCCTGTTTGGGATCTTTGCCTTCAAAGCGGAGCCTCGTGATCTGGGTTGCGGAATCGTCGACGGTCTGGTCCAAGCGTAACCTCGAGTCGAGCTCAGCTGTGTTGTCTGTCCTCTGGGGCCCTTCAAGGAGATATGGACATAATCTTTGAGTTAAGAGAGGGGGGGGGGAGGAGAGAATCACTGCCTTCAAAATGGAATTTATTTTGATCTGCAACTGATACTAGTTATGTTATAACATGTGCATATCCACAGCGATCTAAAATAGAACAGCCACATTCATGAAGGCGCCTATTTATGCTTGTGAACTTGTCACAAATATTAGTAACAATGTCGTTTTAAAAACTACAGATGACAGACAAATTTTCCTTTAAGTCCAAACAGAAAACTTAACATGCAGGTAATGTGGTTCTAGTTTCTGAGTGATGAGAGCTGGGAGACATTGCCAGGTGGAGGGGCATAAATCGACACCTTAAACAAATTTTTAAAAATTATAAAAAAATATAAACTAGATGGAATTCGACTGCGCGCAGTCGAAAATGATGCCTCCTTCATAGAGCAATTTTACAAACCGAAACGGAAGAAATTTTTCAAATTCAAGTTCAATTGTAATCCATTAACATGTTCTCAGAATATCGTGATTACAAGCAATTTCTCATATACATATATGACCCATTGATCTTTGACCTCATGACCCTAAAACCTACTCAGTTCATTGGCTCTGCAAGATGTCCTGAGTTAAATAGTAATCCATCTGTCAGTTCTAATGAGAATGCTTTCACAAGCTATTTTTGCATACATAATGAGCCCCATGACCTTTGATCTTAGGAACCAAGAATCTACTCAGTTCATTGGCTCTGCAAGATTCATAAATGATCTAAGTTTGGCAGGAATCCATCAATCTGTTCTAATGATAATACGATCACAAGCTATTTTTGCATACATAATGAGCCGCATTAAACCTTGACCTTTACCTCATGACCCCAAAATCTAAACAGTTCATCAGCTCTGCAAGTAACATACATGACCTAAGTTAGGCAGGAATCCATCAATCGGTTCTTGAGATAACGCGATCACGAGCTGTTTTTGCATACATAATGTGCGCTGTGACCTTTGACCTCGTGACCCCAAAATCTTATCAGTTCATCGGCTCTGCAAGTAACATACATGACCTAAGTTTGGCAGGAATCCACCAATCGGTTCTTGAGATAACGCGATCACAAGCTGTTTTTGCATACATAATGAGCCCTGTGACCTTTGACCTCGTGACCCCAAAATCTAATCAGTTCATCGGCTCTGCAAGATAGATACATGATCAAAGTTTGGCAGGAATCCATTGATCGGTTCTTCAGATAACGCGATCACAAGCTGTTTTTGCATACATAATGAGCCCTGTGACCTTTGACCTTTGACCTCGTGACCCCAAAATCTAATCAGTTCATCAGCTCTGCAAGATACATACATGACCAAAGTTTGGCAGGAATCCATTGATCGGTTCTTCAGATAACGCGATCACGAGAACAGGACGTACGTACGGACGGACAACCCGAAAACATAATGCCTCCGGCTACTTCGTAACGGAGGCATAAAAAATCTGTGCCTGTGTATAAGATGCACCCCCGACCGACTTTTGATTCTTTTCTTTTTTTTCAGCGGGAAAAAGGTGCGTCTTATTCACAGAGATTTACGGTAAGTTGAGGATCCTCAAGATAATATGCCTTACCAATCTCAGACCTCATTTTAATCAACACCGTCATGTGAGACCATTACTTGAGTATACCACACCAGTGTTGAACACACTCCTTACTAAGGATCACATGCGATTTTTCGAGTCCTCCCAGAAGCGGGCCATGCGCATCATGTTGGGTCAGCATTACACAACTTAAGAAAACACACTCACAGAAACAAAACTTCCTACACTGGTTGACCGTCGAACCCACCTGTGCTTGAAATTCCCACAAAAACTCAATGCCCCTTCATCAGAATTCCGAAATATGGTCCGAACTCGAGACCCAAGTACAAGTACTACCAGACAAAGCAACACCATCCCTTAAATTAAGCATCTATAGAATAAATAGATAAGAGCAGCCCGACCTCATATTTCATTGAACTCCTGAACAATAATTGATAAAATATATTCCTTTTTTAGCAAACCATAATGAATGCTCACCTGATAATTTTATTATACCAGTATTCAAATTATGATCGTTAGAATTAATTGATTTAATTATTTATTTAAAAAAAAAAATTAATTTAATGTTTGGATTTGCATTGTCTGTTTTTCAATTATATTAGTTGAAATTGAGTTTGGCTTTCTCACATAAACAGGAAAATTGATAAGTTGAAATAATTCGCTGCCTATTTAGTGCAATATTCTGTGTTTATCAAAAACTGGTTTTAAGAATTTGGATAATTTATCATGGATTTTTTTTTTTTCATTAGCAATTTGTGACTCTAGCAGATTGTAATCCCGCTATATCACTTACACATTAAAAATTAAAAAATTAAAATTAAAAAATTCCATTTTATCATCAAAAGAAAAATACAAGCTGGAAGTAACATGTCTCCTTGATACTGGATTACATTTCATTTGTTTTACAGTAATATTCCTTACTTTGATTCAGAGGAATGAATGCACCCTGTTGCCGCTTCTTCACAATATCATCCAGTGAAGGAGTTGAGAAATCAAACGGCTGAACTTCTCGCCAGCTCTCTTCCTTGGATTCCTCCTTTCTGCTCTTCTGTCTCTCGAACGAGAACTGCCTGTGGAGGACTCGCCGTTGAACCCCGTGATACCCAATCCTGCCTTGCGCTATCATCTTCGCTTTTGCAGAAGCCGTTTGACATTGATGGCAAAGAGCGTTACCGAAGGTGGACACGGTAGCAGATATACCCGAAGAGTTCAGGATAGGTTTGGAATGCATGGTAGATTTTGAGGAGGTATTCTTGGCGGGTTGCATCTTATTTGATATCCTTGATGAATTTGATTGCCGGTTGTTCCTGGAGTGGATCCCTGAGACGTGCGGTTGAGGTTGACGCTTTTCATCAAGTTGCAAAGATGTGGAATGACTTGGAGGTCGAATAAAAAAATCAAAGCCTGGTGTAACACGAGGCCTTTGAAGACCTTCTGAAGCTTCCATGCTACCTTTCTTGTCAGTGACGTGACGACTACTCAGAGTTCCTAACTCTAACATTCCTTTCTGATCAGCCTTTGCTTCTTTTGTCCCGAACATTGTTTTACTTGCAGTTGGGATGCTTGTTTGCTCAGATTGTGGATTTAAGAGACTAAATGCTGAAGATTTATTATCTGATTCTTTCTCATTTTTCTTTCCTATCTGTGACCCAAGAGGATGTTTAGGAGAACTAGGTTGATTAGTATTAGCCAAATCAGCACAAGAAACACCGCTCAATGTGGTGGTAGTGCCTCCTGTCCCACCCACAATCTCAGACAAACTACCCATTGCTGATGTACCGGGGGAGGAAGAAAAGTGACTGGATGCAAGGTCTGCTAGAGATACAGCACTAGACGGAATAGACTTGATTCCAGGTGCTTCCATGCCACTTTGCTTGTTGGTCAGTAGAGATTGTGTGGGAGATGATGACAAGTGACTGGATGCCAAGTCTGACAATGATAGGCCACTAGATGGAATAGACTTGATTCCAGGTGCTTCCATGCCACTTTGCTTGTTGGTCAGTAGAGATTGTTTGGGAGATGATGACAAGTGACTGGATGCCAAGTCTGACAATGATAGGCCACTAGATGGAATAGACTTGATTCCAGGTGCTTTCATACCACTCTGCTTGTTGGTCAGTAGAGATTGTTTGGGAGATGATGACAAGTGACTGGATGCCAAGTCTGACAATGATACATTCCCTGAAAGTGAAGATCTCAAACCCGAAGTGTGACCCTGTTTGTTCGTTTGTGGAATGGTGGACGATGTTGGTCGAAGACCACTCGCTAAATCAGCGAGGGACAAGTTTGCTTGCATAGTATTCTTCGTGCTGCTGAGTGGTTTCTGACAAGGAACAATTGATGAACAGAGCTGACTTGATGCCAAGGCACTTAATGATACATTAGAGGGCACAGAGGATTTTTCCTTGACTTTGATAGAGCTTTGTCCACAGGCTAAGTCTGCCAGTGAGGGGGCTCCAGATTTTTTACCAACAACTCTTCCTCTAACAGGTTTCAATGGCTTCCCAGTACCCATATCAGTCAAGTGACTGGATGCCAAGTCCGATAGTCCCATAGAGGGTGCTGGACCAACTCCCGTAGAGGGTGCTGGACCAAGTCCAGGTGGATGGACACGCCCAGATGGCTTTCCTAAAGCTGCATTAGTTCCAGTTTCTTGCATACGTGACAATTCTCCCAGGCTGACTCCACCTGCTTGCATAGACAAACCAGCCTTATCTGGGAGTTGACTTTTCATTTGACCTTGCATTTGACTTTGAGGACTGTACGCCACATCTTTGAGGTAAAATTGCATAGTCCCTTGATGATGTCCACTACTATCACCCAAGGAAACCCTCGTTTCAAACCCACGTCCAGTGCTTTCCTTGCTCTCTGGAAGAGTACTACTGCTTCCCATGTCAAAACGGCCCAAGTCATTGTCAGCAGCAACTTTATCGTAATAAGACTGAAATTTACTAGGCACAGATTGGTTTGCAACTGGTACATTCGAGAAGGAAGATGCATTTCCCTGTCCTCCATAAGAGTTCATCACATGGGGACCTTTAACCTTTGACTTGTGTACATCACTATCCCTACCATCCCTACCTAGACTACTCTGTGCGTAAGCATCTTGTGAGTTAGGATTGCTTTTGGTAACTAATGTTGGGTCTTACCTTACCGTGGCCAAGGTTCGCATGCATTAGGCAGGAGGTGAAAGGTCAGCAAAGAGGTCAAGGGTCAGCAGATGACAGGAGTTCCATGGTAAGAAGAAGCAAAACGGCAGAGAAAGAGAATGACAAAAGGGCAAAGAGTAAGCATCTAGGAATTATGTGATACTATAAGGCAGTAGCTAACGTTACTAAATGTGATTTCATGCAAGAAGAAAGCCAATAAGAAATATCGACGGAATACATTGATGTATAACTACAGGATCGTCAGAGCCAGACAAACTTAATTATATAAGTGTGGCACAAAACCTCCTGTCCAAATTTAAGTGGTTAGAAAAAAGGGAGGTTCTTTTTGCAGAAGACAGAAGACTGAAAGATCGTAAAACACATTCTTTGGTAGCAAAATTTGGCTCATATTCTACTAAAATTGAGGTATAACCTTTTTTCTAAAATCTGGTTTAACAAAGGAGGTTGGTCGGAAATTTCCTTTAGTGATTAGTAGGTAATGGGCCTTTGAAGTCAGTTCCTACTTTAATCAAATCCTGAACCTCAATCATGGTATAACACGATACCTATCCTTAACCCTAAAATCAACCCCATATTGAATAGCAAGCCAAGCCCTTACCCATTAACTTTGATAACTGAAATTGGGGTAGTTTTAAGCAAAGGTCACATCACCAAGAACAAGATATTTTAGGATCTGAAATAGATAAAAAATGGAGGAGTTGCCTTGATATTCACCTGTTCTTGTGTCTATCTTTGTCTTGTGGTTGGTTTCTTGCTTGTTTAAGATGGCATCTAGCGCTCGCTCGTAGTCAAACTTGTTCGCGACCACTGCATCGATGAGGACGTGTTCGGGCGTGGTGTCTCCGACTACATTGCGGATCTCGTCAAGGCACGACTGTAGTCGAGCTGTTGTAAAAAAGAGAGAGAGAGCGTGTCACTTCAGTATTACAATGCAGATTTGTAATAATAGCCTATTCTAGTGGATACGTCACGTCAATGGACTGTGGATCACATACATGTAGTTTGCGGTTTGAGTCTCGTGAGTTTTCCTTTCATGACTTTTTTTCTTCGAGTCTTACGCATCTTTTAAAACAATTTTTTTGAAAATCAGATGTATAGTTACAAAGTCACATGATCTTTTGTCTTTGCATGCCAGCCTGAAAATCGCTCATTTTTGTGATTTGTGTACAACACATATGGAAAATTAATTTTTCCTAAAAAGAGATAAAACATTGGTTATTTGGTCTCGTTTAAAGTTTAGGTGTTTTTTGGGGGGTCAAAATAAAATACACAAGTTAAAAAAACAATGAAATACCTACATAAGAAATTATCGAAACAAGAGATAACATTAGGAATAACCTGGCTCTTCCAATTGTTTGGTTGTATTATTATTTCAAAAGGTCTAATGAATATGTAGTGAAAAAGAGTGCTTAAATATGAATAATATGATTTATGGGTAAATATGTGCATTTTATGACCTTACAGTATTTGCATAAATCACCATAAATATGCAAATGAGTGAATTTAAAAAAAAAAAATTGAAATTACCATAGTATTTTATACAACTCACTCCCAGATCCTAATCAAATGATTGGTCATGCACGGTCATGTGTGATTCATTTACTAAGCCTATTGCACGCTGTTTCATAAAAAAGCGTTCAATATTTCCCAGTCCTATTGCACTATTTTTCAGTGCGCATTAATGCACGTAGAGGTTAGAGCGCTACTGCGTGAGCATGAGCCTATTCTTGCGCAGCACTATGCGTAAATGGGTATAGAGGTATAAAGTGCGCTTGCTATATCTATAGCTATGTGTGTGCACTAAATTAAGCATTATTAAACTTAAGATTTATTTGTCAGCCATATACTGTCACAAAACAATCTTGAATGAATTCTTTTTACATCAAATAACAAGGATCAAGGAATTTCGTTGTATAGAACAAAATACAAATGATGCATGTTTTCATTCGTTCATTATACGATCTATCCACCCTCGTTGATGCTGTGTGTATCTATCGCACTCAGTCTAACGGCTTCGTGCAATAGATACACACAGCCTGAACTCTAGTGCTGATAGATCGTATAATGAACTCATGCGCATGCATCATTTGTATACTATACACTTCACTTGACATGCATGCAAATTTTTTGCGGCGATCAGCCATGAAACGGCTGAGACCCCCCCCCCCCCCCCCCCCCCCCCGGTAAAAACATGGTCTAAAATAGCACGATTAGAGGGTTAAATGGAGATGTAAATGCAATCATACCTCTTAATGTAGTAGAAAATGAAGTTATTTGACTCATACTCTGAGTCAAAGATATAGGATAAGGGTTGCAATTTGCTTTCAAGTTTAAGCTGAAGTGATACTAGATTCAAGGTTAAGATTAAGAAGAGCGTTGGGTCCAGGAATTTCTTGAGTGAAAATTAGAACTGTGGGTATCAAGTGACAGCAGAACAATTGTCATCTGAACATAAGTCGTGAGTTTCTGCGCGGAGTACTCGCACTGTTGACAACTACTCAAGTAAGATTTCTTGGCCTCGTATACACGGCCGCCATTTTTTCCCCCTCCACCCGGCACTGTGCCAGTTAAAAAGGTTTCCCAGCTCAATCATATACAGGGTGTCACTATCAACTCACCACTCAGAAAATAGGACTAAACTAGCTGCCAATGTTTGGATTTCTGTTTGGACTCGGAGGAAAATTTGTCTTTCATCTTTAGTTTTAAAAACAACATTTCACAAGCACAACTCGGTGCCTTCAATTGCAACTCGCAGTAAAATTGCGTGGGTTTTTTCGAAGATGGACCTGGAGTGCTTCCTACGACGTCAGCAAAAACAAATCAATCTGAGCAGCGCCATCTCTTGGCAACTGTTGGCGTTAATATGATTCATCTTAGCAAGAAGTTATGAGTATGGCGTAAATTCACCCCCCCCCCCCACCCCCCAGTAAAAAAAAAAGGTTAGGTATTTATGGTATTAATTACAACCCCCCCCCCCCTCAAAAATTCCTGCCGTGTCTAAAAAAAAAAATAAAAAAAAAACATGTCCGCCAAGTATTCAAGTATCCGTCTGTAAACCTGGGCATGTACTCGAGTACCTCATTACACGCTTATGCACAGCCTGATCATGAACACATACCTTCATCTACATCACTGAGTTTGGGTCTTTCATAGTTTCTGGAATCAGCTAGCGGTTGTTCGGAATCACTGTTTCTATCATCCTCTCCGATATCTTCTAGATACGATGAAAGCTCATGATGACCACGTCGGTACAAGAATTGCTCAGCTAAAGAAAGAGAGGTCAACATTTGAAGAGGTTTTTTATCAACAAATGATAATAATAATAATATCATTTAATAATTGCAAATATATTCTACTGTGCTTTGACACGACTACAAGATGTGTTTTTGACTTTTATTTAATAACAATGGTGATTTCCCAATTTCTAACTGCAAGTTATTCAACGTTTGGAAGATGCACATGCAAATGCTCGATCTCCCAATGTTATATAAGTTTTATGTGATGGGGTTTGCAATAATATAGTATCTTGGGAGCTATGCTGGTTGTGAGTATGTTTGCCAGACTTGAGTTTTAACATATAAAGAGGTTTTAACTTTTAATATCCAGTGGAATAATACCCATTTGAAAATAGCCAAATTTGTTGATCATAATTTCCAGTTGGTAGACGATAAGAATAAGGTTTGCGAATAATTTTAAGTATGTAGAAAAATAAATCCAATTTTGTACAAGTTTACCTGTGGAAGGTGATGCACCATACATGAAATCGTCCTCCACAGAATGGCCATAGACATCATCATAGCCTTCATAATCTGCGAGACAATAATTAAAATTCACAAGATAGGATAGACCTTTTATCTCTGTAGTCTGTACATTTATAACTGAATAATATAAATAAATAACATTTCCAATTCAAAAAGGCCAATGAATGCTATTATTTAATATTTTCAGCACTTGACTTGTACATTGTACCTGAACAATATAAATAAATTAATAAAACATTTATTTCTCTAATAAATCATCAAAATCTAAATACTAAATTAAAGACCTTGACCGGAGCAGAGCATTATATAGACAAATTATATACCTACGGACTCGTGAATATTTACTGAATATGAAAATGCAAACTTCTCGAGATTCCACGGCCTCTGAAAGAAGTATTTAGCATCCGAACCCCAGGATTCACGGATTTGAGAGGGGCACCCCGGAGATTTAGTTTCGGCTGCGCTAGCCGGTGGCCGTTTCTACCCGTTTCTGATGACGTCATAACGTGTAGGTTATTTGGCCACTCGGTATTGCAGCTGGTTCTTCGCATGGTGGTCGGTATGTGAAGTTTTCTTCTCTCTTTTTTTGTTGTTGTAAATATCAATGTCGAAGCTGTATTTGGACATTTTACGATTAGAATGTTGACATTTTATATCTGTATTAATTTCACGCTACGTAATATGGAATATCAACCCCAAATTTCCACTAAATTAGATTGAAACGAATCATTTGCCCGCGCTGCTGGCTGCCTGCCTCGGTCTGCGATTGCACAACTTTCAGCAATCTATCGCTGAGCCTCGCGAGAGCACTCGGGCCGCGGCCGGCCCGGCCTGACTTGCCGCGCCGTGTCATGCTGGTGGTCGTGGAATATTTCTCGAACAAAACTAAGTTTCGCTCGCTTTTATCGCACAGATAGCCTTTCCTTTTGCATGGTTTACCAGCATTAAATCAAAGAATTATTTAGATCTACATTGTTTTATTGTCTAGAATATAGTCTGTAAACAATGAAAAATAAGAAGAAGATGAAATGGAGATTTTGAAGAAGAATTGGGCCTAAAAAAGAAGAAAAAGAAAACTAGGTAGTTGGTAGAATCTAGGCCTTGGACTCGTGCCGCCCAGTGGCAGTGCACTGCAGTACAGTGAAGCCAGGAACTAAATTATTTTGAATTGATGTCAGAAATCACATGGGTGCCTCTTCTTGATACTTACTCGTGATGAAAACACTGTTTTTTATTCAAATCAAAATGGTCTAGAGACTAGAGTCTAGATCTAGTGTTGTTGCCAGGGATGATTATTAAAACAAAATCATCGGTCATTTGTTGTTGACTTTGCTTCTTTTTTTTTATCCGACTACAGATTAACTTTGCTTTTTTTTTTCTATGAAACTAGCCTCAAGTTGTTCTTTTTGTTTGGATGTGGGTAAAATCCTTATTTATATGCATACGGTGTAATAATACTTTGAAGATGTTTGTCAAAATGCGAGCAAAATATTTACATTTATTTTAATAATGTACATTCAAGTTTAATTTAGTTCAATTTTGATCATGACATTCATATTTTTTTTGTTGCAATTTTCTAAATGATTAATATTCATTGTGGAATGAAAAAATAGTTTTGGCGAAGGGATGAGATGCTTGGAAATGCCGAGATCATGATTGCTAACTATTTAAATGAACTCTCCTTCACCTTTACCGCATATATTATATTCCCAATCTTATTACAGGTACAAAGGTGTACGACAAGCTTCGAGAGGAATGGCTGAGGACCAGACTGATGAACGACATTGGGATGATGTCCCCACATGCCCAAACCAGCAAGGTTGAATCATTCCACAACATCCTCCTTCACTTTTGCCCCAAGTTGCTTGTATACTCATATCAAGGGATGAAGTGCAGGTAAATTAGGCAATTAATTCATCAACATTATGCTCCCCTAATATAAATTTAACAAGAACGTCACAGGGGGCAGTGTTGTTTCTTCTTCTTCTTCTTTTGAATTTGATTTTATTGGTTTTATGTTTTAAAGTTATTATTTTCTTTTTGTTATGCAGGTTCTTTCTATTTCATATTTTGTTGTTTTTTTTTATTTTTTTTTATTTATTATTTGTAACACATGCTTTTTACACTAACTCTTGCCTTCACTTATTGGAGAGTAGGTAACGAGTTTATGATGATAGACATTACATTACCAAAAAGATAAAATCAACTGTCACAAGTATGTTATTCATGTGACCTTTATTTTTAACTTCACTCTTTTCAGATTATATTTGGCTGTCCTACATTGGAACGAAAATTGTGATAGAGCCCAGGCTGTTGATGCCGAAGGGAACCCAGTGTACAGGTTGAAGTATCCACGCTCGAAGGAAGGAGGCCACACAGTGGAGAGAGTGCTGACAGTTGGCACATGTGGTAAGTAGCCACATGTCTAGTGAATGATATCAATATTCAACAAAAGAGCTCAATTATATATAGAAATCTTTTATTACTTCATGATCAATAGAATTCAAATTAGTAGATTCTTGTGGCCTATATGCCCTTAATTTAATCTGTTGATTAAATTGATAATTATAAACATGTATTGGGTTACTTTCTGCAAATGTGTAATATTGAATAGCAAGCAGAAACAGGCATATATGTCAGTCCCCAAGTCAGTGAACTACCTATTCAGCAAAGAACATGTGCATGCCATTGGTATTTGATTGGTCATCCACCTACAAATAGTGTGTAAAATTAGGTAATTCAATATTTGTGAGAAAAAGAGTTTTCTCTTCTTATGTTCTTATTTTTCTCTTTTCCTTTTTTCCTCTTATCAAAATGTATTTCTTTAACACCGTATAGATGAATTTTCAAGGTATAGTTTTGGATTTTATCTTGTAGGTTATGTGAAAGCCCTGATGAGAGTTGTCGTAGAACTGGTGGAAAACAGGGAGCAGCTCAGAGACAACATGGAGGAGCTACAGCCTCAACCAGCACGGAGTGCCTCTCATCATCACCCCGACAATGGAGAAGCCGTGCAAGCTTTTGAACAACATCATCGCTTTGGCGATAGAAACTAGTTCTTTTGGTGATAGAAACTATGATGAATGTGTCAGCTACCTGAACATTAACCACTGATTGTTTTATTTCAGTACAAGACATGTTTTTCATAGACCCTAAATTATGTTTATGCCAGTATAATTATGGAGAGTAACATGGAAGTACTCTATGCAAGTGAGTAGTGGATTCCGATTCTATGTGAGTGTAAAGCACTAGAAACTTGTCTGTAAGCTTGTACATACTTACACAAGCCAAAGTCCATGGTACACATCAATAGTCATTGGTTTTAATAGGTAAAATACTTATTAAATTTGTAAAACTTACATTTTTAGTTCAATTAAAAACAATTTCTGAAGCATATGCACTAGATTTTCATAAACACTAAGTAAATCACTGTTGATCATGAATTTGGCACCAAATATAATCTGATTTTTCTCACAGTCCTTCATCTTGGCCAATGCTTTTTGCTTCTTATTTGCAAAAAATAAAAAATTAAAAAATGCATTTTTTTTCTTCATCTAAACTGTTCTTATTCAAGAACCATTTGATGTATTGCACCAGATATGACTTTATTTTTTGTTTTTGATTTTTTCCCTTTTCTGCCGAGGTGAATTGTGTTATTCATTTTCAAAGTTAGTAGTTTTAAAGATCATGCCATATTATCACAGAAGAGGAAACATTGTGATGATACTTCATCGCATCCATACTTTTTTTCCTAACAGCGGTTTCCTGTTTGTCCTAAAACCTGGTTATAAAAGATTGAAAAATAATCATCCTTGCAGATATAATAAAAATAGTCATCTATCCTGTAAACTTTACATAAAATAAGGATGAATGTAATGTACATGTTGCATCAAAGTTTTTGTTCCAATGGTGCATCATTTTGAAATATATTGCACAGAGAAGAAAATGATTGGAGGGAAAAACCGTCAATGGGATGTTCTGAGAATATTTTGAGCAAAGGTAAACAAAAATTCATCTAAAGGAACACAAATCTTGTTTGTTTATTTCTATTATAGGTGTCTTGTAGGAAGCTTCATAATTTAAAGATGGAAATTGCTGTGAAAATGAGAGTGAGATAGAGAATGTGAAGGAAGAAGAGGGATAAAGATAGATACCAATAGGGATAGAGTGAGAGATGTGAATGTGATGGATGGAAGAGGAGAAAGAGAGATTGTGAAAGAGTGAGAGATGGGAATGTGATGGATGGAAGAGGAGAAAGAGAGATTGTGAAAGAGTGAGAGATGGGAATGTGGAGGGTGGAGGAGGAAAAGAGAGGCAGAGGGAGAGAGTGAGAGATGGGAATGTGGAGGAAGAGGAGAAGGAGGGACAGAGTGAGAGATGGGAATGTGGAGGGTGGAAGAGGAGAAGGAGGGACAGAGTGAGAGATAGGAATGTGGAGGGTGGAAGAGGAGAAGGAGGGACAGAGTGAGAGATGGGAATGTGGAGGAGGAGAAAGAGAGGAGGGACAGAGTGAGAGATGGAAATATGGAAGAGGAAACAGAGAGAGGAAGTGGGATAGAGAGATGGGAATGTGGAGGGTGGAAGAGGAGAAAGAGAGAGGAAGAGGGACAGAGTGGGAGATAGGGTTAAGGTTTATCCTTTTTGGGAGGATAGATTTGATGCAAAATAAAGGATTTCCTGGATTTATTACGATGCTTACCATTTATCACACATTTGAAATTTCGTCAACCGCAATTCCCTTCTCTTACTCTCATTATTCCTCTGTCTATCTTTGTTGTGTCCATGCTGTTATTTCTCTTTCTCTCAATTTCGTTTTCTCTTTCAATTTCATTTTCTCTTTCTCTCCCCTTTTCTGACTCGGCAGGTTGACTGTATATGAAATGCTCAAATTATTAAAACAAATTACATTGCAGGGTGTATAACAAAAGAGAAGGAACAAGGCATGTTGTGTTTTTTTTTGTTTTTTTTGTTGTTGCTTGTTTATATAGATTTCAACATTCTTCCTCATAAGAAATCGTTGCTTGATCACAGTTTTGCAAAAGTTCGAA